ATATAGATATAGAGAAAACGAAAAGATGAATATGCAGTTTCTCGTAGATGTCAGCTCATCGTAAAGCCCACCTATCTCGTTGATTAACCACAGATACTCTGGTGATCACAGAAATTGATTATTACAATAGGTATACGGGCGATAGAACGGACGGATGGATCAATGTGGATTGATCTGATTAGGGGCCGGAATTCTACTCTTATGCGATAATGCCAACCGGACCGGCAAGGAATATATCGACATTTGTACAGGTTGTACGCTTAACTAACGGCTACAGTCCGTAAATATATTAACAACTGTTAATAGGCGCTCGTGTGAATTTTCTTCAAATTAGAGCACATTATTCCTTCTATCCAAAATGAAATTTGCGATTATCAAATGCAACAATAAGAAATAAATAACGTTCATAAGATCAGGTATGTGTGTGAATCTCGAATAAAGTGGATGGCGCCATGTTGCCTTCCACACCTTGTGTTTGAATCCTTTGGCCTTTTACATTTAAGCACTATTTCGTTTACCGAGTCTATCCTGCGGCAGTATAAATCAGTTTAACAATTCCATGACAAACTGTGTGAGCCTAATTAAATATTTCTTTCGCATTTCGTTCTAGAGCTGCCGCAGGTTGAGGTGTATTTGCGAAGTGGACAGCCAAATCCTTTTCGTCTACTTCTTCCTTTAGTTCCGACTAAAGTTATCACTATAAAGATAAATTCGTTGCGGACAGAGTTTGGCATAATAGCGACAGTTGAAGAATATCTACCAAAAGAAATATACAATTCAGCCAGTGTTTTTAACAAGTGATATTGTACATTTTAAGCATGCTGAAGATATATTGGGTTGATGTCGAGAGTCGTACACGTATACGAATACATATACACATACGTATATATATTTTTTTTACTGTTATGTAAGCGATCTTTCAAGACTAACGTTTCCGTGATTAGTCAACCAGTCACTGAATGTATGAATTATAAGTTGCCGATCCAAACCACTTAACTCTAATACAATATACATTCTGTACACACACAAAGTGATATATCCTAGCTGTAAGTTGCTTACAAGGGTTAACTATACATCGTTTTACTAGGGCGATATTAAATAGCGTAGTTCAAATGTTTTTTATGTCCAATTTTGACTTTTTTTTACGTACATGGTAGCTCGGTTTCAGTGTATACAAATAGAGTAAACTGCTTCAATAGTTTGTACAGTGCTTAGATGTGCCCTCAGATAACATAAAGCATAGTGGGAAAGGGAAGGTCGTTCATACATGTCGAGCACGGAGTTTTGGTGTTTATAGATTATTACTTAGACTATTATCTCTAATAAAAAAATAATAAATGAAAATCACTAAAATATAACATGTTGGTCAGCAATGAAGTTATATTTTTCTATTGTTCTAACTCATTCTTCGTGTTTTATGATATTTCACATTAATATCTTTAGCAGCACTTTTTTTTTCTAATTCAAACGCTTGAACTCAGTAGGGCAATCATTCATTTATTGATTATCTACCCCATTGTTATTCTCTTTATTAGGATAAAATTCATGCATGCTTGACCCATCATTTCTGGTGCATATTATTTATCATAGGGCCTCTCTTACTAGTTTACGCGATTTAAATTATAGACAGTTCTGTTTGATTATTTATTTATATTTTTTATTATTATAATTATATTTTTCACAATATTTTCTATGCAAAAAAGTAAATATCATAATCGCGCTCCGTATTCAGCAGGTAAATACATGGAACTTCGTTGCGTTTTGGCAACAAAACATTTGTGTAAGAAGTGGTCATGCAAAGCGCCTTTCGCATTTCAACTGTAGGTGCGTGGTCCACTCTGAGTGTAATAATGCGAACTATCAGTTCAAAAGTAGATTCATCAATCTAGTTCAAAAATTCAGCAGTCCCTACGTCCTTTTATCTATTTAAAAGCTAAGTATTTTTTATAAATTGTGACAATGGGTATACATACGGATTTGTGCTAAAACACCCCTTTCAGCATCACTTGTTATTCGTGTATTGTCTCTCAATTTTTGAAGCTGTTAAGTGACTTCATGTACAATCATAATGAATTGTATAGCATTAACGGCTTTTGTCTTATTTACTGCATAAATCATAAAAACATACTAATTTATTAACTAGACTTTATCAAAACGAACAGCGGACACTTTAGAAATTAATTTGGGAGTATCGTTTTCATATGATGTCGCTTATAATAATAGTTTCACTAGCTTCTTCGCATTAAGTGCTATAAAAGTATTGTGTGCTACGATTTGTGCCTGTCTAATTGACAAAACAGTTTTAGCAGTAAATAGGTACTTTAGGCCATTATTATTTCTCTATACAATTTTCTGTGAGATACCACGTTTACATAAAAATGGGAAAAGTTAAACACGTTGAGTAGGGATTTCAACATGCATTTTTACTGCTGTTTGAGGTTGGAAAAATGGTACAAATCATATACATATCATTAAATCTATGTTCTGTTACTATTTAGTTGCCTAGAAGAACAGAATTCATCACGTTCTATTTTTGAATGCTCGCCAAAGCGTCACATCCAACTATACCAATTCATAATTTTTTTGCAGAGTAGATATATATTAGATGATTATCTGCTGGAATCCCCTGGTTGTCTATCCTCATCTAGAAGATCGCATTATTCTCAATGGTACGTAATATCTTTACTTTGATGCATGAAGCAAAACACACCTTCAGATCGCTAGCGACAATAATGACGATTCCACTGACCAGTCAACGGAATACGCTTAACTTTATTGCGATTGCGTTGTAGATACGTAGTGATAGCGTTGACATGCCTCTCTTTTGAAATTATTAGAGGTTAGCAGTAGAGGTAGGTTATGTTTTGACGGAAGAAGGTCTCGAAAACCATATCAAAGTTCGTCTTTACTAATTGTGCATAATTGTGAAGTTAAGCATAATTGTGCGCGGTGGGCTGGCTATAACTAATTTGTGTAAATATGCTATCTAGAAATAGTTAGACTAGTATTTTCTTTTATCCTTGTCCATTTATTGAAATTTGTCTGAAGTGGTATTCTATGAGCCTTGAGCGGGACGGGATCGAGGTCTGTATTTTAAACTAGTGTAAGTACATATTTCTAGTATATAATTTTTTTTTAACGCGTATATTAGACTATAGCACAAAAACTCCTTACATACATCGAAGATTATAATGATTTTCTTCATGAAATTCTGCGTACATTAGATGAATAAAATACCATATATAGATTTTGCAAAGGATTAATCTTACGACGTTAAGAATCCAATGATTAGCGACAGTACGCGTGTCTTGCAATCTATCAGCGTTTCTTTAACTTATATTTGCGCTCAATAATCTTAATTCATTTGGTTGATCGTGTCACTATTTGATATAACCAATCACCTTGTATCATATCATGGAAAGTTCAGATATAGTATTAAAGTGTTTTATACTTCTTGTGCTTATTTTTTTGACTTGCCAAGGATTGACGATTGGCGGGCCCTCTAAGCCGCCTTAGAATTACCCTAACATGTTTTATGTAGTGTGGTTAGGGAACAGTAGATCCAAGGGTGTTGTGCGATTTTGTTTCAGTCCTGGTAAGCAGAGAGTGTATGTCCTCAAAAGAGCGAATAGTTTTTCAACATTACCACCGTTCAGATATTTACATACGGGTTGGGCACTGGAAGACAATATCGCTTTGGAGCATTTGTGTGTAATTCTTTATGATCATCTAAAAATATAATGACACTACCCATTAATCTAGACCGAACGAAATTATTGAGTTTATACGAGTTTCGCCCCACGAGAATCTAACAACAGAAATTTTCAAAAAAGTATTTTTTCGCAAGGCTTATATTTTGCCATTTCATAATTTACCGGTGTTCAGATACTGCGAATAGTTGTTAGAGGCAACAATACAAGCTTTAAAAGCTCTTGACATAGTAATGTTACTGTCGTTAGTTTAGGATGTTCACTCTCGGTGTTTATGAATAACTAACCAAAATTCTGAACAACTGACAGGTGGAAAAGAGTTTGTTATGAAATGAGTCTATAGGTGCATTACTAGAAGCGAAATATGTACCAAATACTATCAACGATAAATGAGAAACGTAAAAACGATTATTGCTAAGTAATTGCATATCGTTCGAAGTGGAGAATGGTGATAACATTATAAGAGCACAAACGAATTTAATAAAAAATCTCCCTAAAAAATATTTGCATGTGGCGTGATTTCTATATTATAATTTGCGTAACCAAATTACTCAGCAGCAGCAGAGTTCGGAATATGCTTTCTAATCGCCAGTTTTCGGGGTACTTGACGGTTTGTTGCATTATCAGGTTTAAGTTAGCTTGCAGGATTGAGGTAGAGGAAACGACACTACCTAAATGACAATTTCAATTTTCGGTAAAATAAGTATAATTATACTGGGATATAACTAAACAATACGTATATTTAGAAAGCAATGTCTTTTGCGCGTCATTGTTCTCTCAGTATGTTTAGAGTAACATGGACTTATTTTGTGTTATTAGATAATTAAAATTTTAAGGTAAAAACTTCACTGAAGCACGTCTCATTGTCGGTGGGTTGTGTTTTACAGACTTAGGAATGCTCGTTGTGGCAGCCGAATTCGTTTAAACCCCGTTCCCTTCTACAGTGTATTATTCTTTCACAAATTGTCACCAGTTATCGAACGGATTTCCAAAAGATGATTCAATCTGTTGTTAGGTTTCATGGACAAACTATCTCGGAAAAAAATGCGTGCAACAAAAGAATGTAAACTACACGCTGCGATAGCTCAAATTAATCAAATCCTCAAACACTCTTTTATAAAAGCCTGTAAGCACACTTTAAAAAAACATTAATCCAGTGTACATTGACAAACCGTATTTTTCAAGTTTTTCAATTCCATCAACTGTAAGCAGTTGCGGAAAAATCTATTTTTCCTACTCAATAGTAAAAACGAAAATCGAATTCAGTTTACAAATTCCAAATAAAAGCAGCTCAGATGTACTTCGCTATTCAACGTGCTTCACGCACAGCAGAAAGGATGTACCTTTTGGAAAGTGTTCATCTAACCACAAAACATGAATCTTCGCTTAGATAGTTTATATGTTATTAAATATATCGCAAGTTTGTTAATTTAACAAGCTATCGCAAGTTTGTTAATTTAACAAGCTTGCGATTACATTTAACAAGCATTACGTCTCCTATAGCAGAAAAGATTGTCTCCACTAAAATGTACTCTTCAAAAATATGAATCATGTTTTACTAACTCGCAAATATTTCAGATGACACTATAAAATTACCCTCAAATTCAATCTTCTGCAAGCGTCGAAACATTTACAACATTCATGCACAGCCCTTTCGCAGTTGCCGACAGTTTTATTAAGTGAGAACTAAACAAGACATCCACAAGAATTGCAGAAGAACGATCTTATCCAATTTAACTTCATATTTAATGCGCACATAGCAACACTATGCCAAATATAACATTTATTAAAATATGCCTAAAAAAACCTATGCCAAACCCACTACGACCTTACTTTTTTAAACAAATTCAAAGTTCATGTGGTTGGTACAGTTGAAAAGCCATAAGAGATTATAAAAACCACAAAGCATTCTGTTTAAATCCTTTATTTTCCCATCCATTGTCATCGATATATAAATTATTCATGATATATTTTCTCAAAACTTGAAGACAGAAACAGCGGGAAACGTCTGACATTTCTTGCATTACGGTGACAGAATGAGCTGTTTTAGGTGACATTTTTATGCAATACTCACTCAACACGCGTGTGTTTTTCGTATAAAGTGTAAATTTCGTATCGCTTGTATATGCTATTTCTATTATTACCATTCCTAAGGACAACGCAAACAGAAACAGATTTTTCCCTTCTGTGAAGTTACCCGAAAGAAAGCACTTATGTACTCATCATTTCATTAAAACTCGTAATTCATTTTTCCTTAATTTGTTTCGAACCATATACGCTACCTACCTCATATAGTTAAATATGTTATTATTTTCCATTGTATTATTATTCACCTTGCCTCTGTTACACAGCAACTTGTTCACTCGACACTTGCTTGCATTGGTCTTTATGGTTACCTTGTGTACTTCCAGTGTTATCTCTTCCAGCCCTGCTATAAACAGTACTGATCAGGTGCAATGATCAGACAGCTCTTCTTAATCTAGCTGTTTTTTTCTATGTCTGCTGGAATTTCCCGCTGACCTCCAAGCTCATATCAGGCTACAAAGGTGTTTTGTTATTTCGCCTGTTATCGGTCTTTGCCTCTATTTTAATTATACACAATTTTTACATTCCTTTTTTTGCTTCACCCTTCTGGTCTCCAACACATTAACTGGATCTAGGCGCTAGTTCAAGCCGAAGAACGGCGATTTCAGTTTTACCCGACAGTAGAGGTAAACTAGCCATCCTTTGTCACTTGAACATATATATATATATATATATATATGTATATATATATATATATATGAGCGTATCTCTTGAAAAGTAATAACTTTAAGGGTACTTCACTGTTGCACTGGCCATCACCTCCAATTAAAATACAACCAACTGCTTCACGATTCGCACGCGTAACGTTATAGAATATATTTTTCTGCTGTGGAGGTGACAAATACGCGCCACAAGTAAATTTACACTATTTCTGTCAAAACGAATTTGAAGGTTTTAACTATAGTGGCGAAACATATGTGAACACAGCAACTTTCAATGAGTTGCCAACAATAAAAATAGAAACAAATAGCCCTTTACAACTCGTAGTACAGGCCGCAAATCATTGATCGCGTCTGATACGCAGTCTTTTTATCGGGTCATCTATGTTGTCTGATGAGGATGACCAAACTCGAATCAATGAGCTAAAAAAAAACATGTAACAGCTAGGCTGTTTTTCTAAATATGTGTTTCTGTCAGAAGGGACGACGGCGACTTTTACTGTAAAATACAATTTCACCGCCGATGTTTTTCCTGTTGGTTGTATTTCCTAATCAGACGTCGCCGTTATTTGATCATAATTATTGACCGATGAGGAATCGCTACAAGTAATTATACAACCATACGCCGACACTGTTTCTTAAGAGACTAATTTGTTGTGATATGGAAATCATGCATGGATACTTAGTATTATTAGTGTTTGGGAAAGGTTGAAGTAGCGAAACTAAATAAACGGCTAAAGCTTTATCTCGTTATTTTTCAGTAATTTGAAGAATTAACGACAACAACCCAATAATGCTTACTACTATAAGCTATAGAAAAAGAAGACCACTGGCACTCGCGCCTATTCTCGTGGCTCGCCTTCAAGGGTTCGTATGTTTGAAGATCAGCAGTTATAGCTAGCCCCACCTCCTGTTGTGGAATTATCACACTTAAGTCAAAAACACTTGTCCATGAAAAATCTGTCTGTTAGATATTCCATTATAACGCAATGGTTGTCTTGCATAAACTAGTGGTCGCTGATATAGAGTGTACGGATAAGTTGCCTTACTACTGATGTTTTTTGCGTCTTTACAAAATGTATAAATTAATGTAAATCTTTCATTACGCATCTTAAAATTGATTCGCATTATTATACTGTTTTTGTTTCACATAAGTGGACGAAGCTGGCACGCATCACATTTCCAGGTCGTCTGCATTTATAGGCGTTATTGTTACTGCTGTTTGACCTTGGTCTTCCGATACGTTAATCGTCAGACTTGATGTGAGCTCGTTCTTGTGACTAACGATTTCCACCGGGAGGCGCCCACGTAAGCCGTTCCTCATAAAACTTGATTACAATCTGGAATTTGATAAATCAAAGACTATTAATTCCTATTAACTAATTTAGTTCCGAGGTTAACCGTTTTTGACTTAATATGTATTTAACGACATCTTAGTAATAACAAATCTTCTTTTAAAATAATTAGTCGAAATCCGAAAAACTTTTGTATGCAAAATAGTGTTACAATCGGTCTTTTTGCTGCAATTAAGATTTACCAAAAAGAATAGAATAACCTGCCAATAAACATTTATCTCGTTTGTTCTGCCTGTTGCGGTTTTCAACATTTTGATGCTAACTTTAGTTTTCTCTACGCAAGGGAGTCAAAACATATCTATTGATAAATTAATCTTTTCTTTTGGAAGACGTGAATATACCTTTTTCCTAAATGTGAATACTTTCACTCAGTATTATTGAAGGTACATCCCCGGTTAACGTATCGTTTTTAAAATGAGAAATGTTAGGGATATCATCCAGTGTATTTTGTACCTCAGTTTTAATATTAAAAGTTAACTACCACTGTCTAATCCAGTTAGGTACCTGTGGACATTTAACATTCGCCTGCGCGGCTGGTACAAGATCGGCCTCGTCGACTCCTTTCCATTTTAATAGGAACATAAGCTCCCCTGATGAATCTGTTGCTCCGATAATTTTTTCCGGCTCCAGTCCACGGTCGAAGCCCTAAAAAGCGAATATCAGTAACACTAACATTATGTATTTTGTGGCTCTCTTCGCAGTTCCATTATTTATTGTAGACTGAACTTCTAAAGCTCTATATAAATCATCTAGGTTAATTCGGCCGACGGGAAAGCGGTTAAAAGAGGTTTGAAAACTGGAAGAATATGAAATTGAAACGAAACTAATTAAGATTCTAAACCTTGCTTAGTGATGATCCAAAAAGTCTTGAGCCGTTTTCAGTATGCTACCATATATGTCCTCTACATTTAATTGTTACATTTTCGGTTCCTTAGATAACCTACACTCATAAGGACTGCTTAACTATTCTTCAGAGGATTACATAAATATCGACTGCGATATAACATTCCGTAATTCACTCGGGCTAATTCAGCCAACCAAATGTGATATATTGCGGAACAAATGTTGAATTATTATATAATCGTGTCTTAAATGAACTTAATATTAACATAATAGATAGGAAATACCTAAATTGTCCTTTTAATCCTGGCGTATAATCGCTATGCGCAAATTTAGCGATTTGATAAGGAAACTTATGTATATAGAATACTTGACATTGTTCACGTATACTATTTCACTACAAATTTTATAATGACAGTATATGTTTGGTTCAGTCGGTAACGTGACATAAGAACGGTAAGAAACAAAGCTGTTCTATGCCAGATGGCAGCACCGGGATTTGTTGCTATAACCATTTTGCTACTAAAATTCATCTGCTAAATCAAAGGGTCGAGCACGTTTGCCCTGAGCGAAGGCAGCTGTGTTTAGCCCTATGTAAAAAAACTCAATTTTCGTTTGAAGTATTATTAATACTAATTTATAATTACAAAACAACTAACCTTTGGTTTTCCGCCTTCCTTGGCACTTTTAGGTGGCGTTCTTTTGGCAGGGGCCACTTCGTTTGAACCATTTGTAGCTTTTTTCTTAACACTATCCTGTTTAAAGTGAAAGAAAAATTTCACAGAAAAGGATATATAAAGTCAATTAGCCTTTGCATTGCAAGAGATTCCTAAAATATAACTGACTATTCGAACTGATCCTAAATAAAAATTAAATAGCCTGTATTTATGAAACCTTAGTTTTGTTTAAATCTCATGTCACGAATAAAAAGTATATACCTTTTTAGCTGCTTCTTTCTTTGCTCGCTCTTGCTCAAATGTTTCAATAAGTTCCTGACAGTCTAGGTTTTCCATTGGCTCCCATGTATTGTCGTCTTCACCATATCCTTTCCATTTGAGAAAGTATTCAACCTATTTAAAAATAAAAGTCAAACAATATACCAATGACGTAGTACGATGTTTCTGTGCTGAGTCTCGAAAATAAAGCAGTGCTTTTGAAACGTGAAGAGGAGTCACAATATGAATTATTTTAACTATATCATTGCAGTTCTATTTAAGCGTTCACATTATTATGCAGGTTATATGAAGGTATTTTATTGTACTGGCGTATTTGATACTTGGGATCAGGATGGTTTTATCTCATAACTTTATTAGTCAAACTTACACCAAATGACCGTTTTACACACTTAGTGAAAATTGCAGACGTTTTTATTTCCAATCAATTTTCAATTTTTCAGTTGGTCGCAGATCCGCGTAAGAATTTGGCTTGGCAAAATAATATAGAAATCGGCATAGGCAACTAAATTTTAGCAACAACGTATTTAAACGTTATTAACGAAATTAAACTAACAGTTTGAATGAATATAGAAGGTTTTCAAGCACATTGAAATTTGTGTATACGCTTTATACTAGCACTTCGAATTCAAATGCTTTTTCAAATAGGTTAGATGCTTTTCAAAGAAGAGGGTATTCAGATGAGTACTGGCCTTCTAGAGGATTAAGGTTAGATATAATTAGAAAATTAATTCAAGGATTGTGTTGTAACGTGTTTTTTTTTATCTAATCACACCCTTAATTAAACAATTTTATTATTATTTTTACGTTGCACCTTACCTATTTCAGTAAACACAGTTCGTAAGACGATATAAAGCGTTACACTTAAGTGCAGATAATTACAACTCTTGCATTAGGTTTCTAGATGCATATTGATCGATACTAATATGATAGAATCCGTGTCACCACAACTGCAAGTGTGCTACAAGATTGTCTTTAGATAAATTTTGATACAGGAGCTAAAAACAAATGTTTACACAAAATTTTGATGTCTGTTTAGTTAGAATAGTCCCTCGAAAGATGAATGTATAGACCCAACATAGTTATTTCCAAGAGTAAGAACTATCTCAGAACCTAGACTTAATTGAATCATGGAAAACCTGAAACTTGCGTGCATAGAGAGTACTACCCTTAAAATGCAAAGGCATGTTGAACATGAGGTATTTGCTGCAGTCTAGCCTTTGTGGAAGTTAAGACTTGCGCTTTTTCATTATTAAGTCAGAAGGATATAATTTTCATCTTGAATTTGCTCTGCAGTGTAGCAATAAGCCAAGATCGTAACCGTCTATTATTTATCGCCAGCAAAATAGACAAAGAGGTGTGCGATCGCCCGTATCCCAAAAGACAATATTAAGTCTCCTTGGTCGAATTCTATAGATAGCAGGCTTTCGGGCTTAGCAGTTAATTCTGTTTCCGTCGCTTATAACGACTCGGCACTAAATACCGATAGCATTTTTTTCATCAAATTCCGGCCTCAACCAAGTAGCTTTCACCTACACGCGAGATTTTTCTAAAAAAAATGCATAGATAATAGTTATTCCTCTTCGTGTCCATCCTCGTGTTTAATCGGGTCGAGGGTACTTCGTTCAACACAGTTATGATCCAGCTGCATTCTACTTTTTCGAAAGCAAACCTTTTCTAAAATAAAAGCTTATTACTGAGCCATGATTGCAGAATACACTCATTATCTTATTATTCATAGCGTTATACAAAGAAATGAGTTTATGGCAAGACTGCTTGGTAGGAAAATGTCATTTTTTTAAGTGAAGTTTCGAGCAAAGTAGTCTGAATTAATTCAGAAAATTTGATTGAAAACAGCCCTTTTTGGTTCAAATTTTAGTCAATATTCGCAAAATAAACTTCTGAAATATGTTCATTAAAAGTAAGTGATACATGTATACATAAAATAGAACACACAAGATAAGGCTTGAAAGCGGGAGTGAGGTACGATTAATAGATTAGTAGTTAATCAGTAAAAAAGATGCTTTTCGGAATGTTTTTATTATTTCATAACGCTAATGTACCTACAACCAAAGTCGCATGAAACATCATGAAACTCTAGTAAGTCGTGCAGAACTTCACAGTGATTTTTTCCCTGGTTTGCCTATGCACACTTTCTTGTCAATACTGTTTACATTTTAATGTTTGGCTGCTAAAGCAATCTTTGAACTTAAACATGCAGTAACTAAACTGCGTGAAACTTACAGTTTATATTTAAGATAATAACATAACTCATTTATAGCTTATACGCAACGTTTAAGCCACGATAGATAAAAAACGCATTCTGTTGATTACGTATGTTGCTTTTCATACCATATTTTTAATAGAAACTGCTGCCCATTATTTTGTTTGAAAAATAAATTTGCGCTAGTGGAATGAACACAGACATACACGAACCTTATCAGGAAACCAGTAACAACAAATATTGTGCCGTTATATGTGCATCATTGCGAAGAATCAGTTTTGGGCCACTCCATTGCATAATAATATATCCATTATAACAATGGTTATCTGCATCGGTTCTTTAAATATGAACAACTGCTTGCGCATTAAGTACCTGTCTCGGTTTCAATTATCTATGTACTTTTTCAAAACAATACATTTTTTCACAACAATTTTTGAAGTTGGCAATTATTTTTTCTCTGCCTGGAATACTAGTCTTGGCTTAAGTCAACAAAATTGCACACCAGAGCAAAAAGACAAATCTCTGAGCTTCTAAATTGTATACATAAAATGACTACTAAAGAAATCTCCAAAGAAAAAAGATGCAACAAAAACCCGGAAACTCATTCTTCAACCTAAAATATTTACCTTATATTTAAGTTAAATTATACGAATAATAATATTAACATTCATAAGTGGCGCACAGGGGGAGTAGCAGACCTAGTTTTTCTGAAATGCTAAACGATGTGATCCACAATTCAGGTAGCTCGCGACTTGAAGTAGAACTTTTTATTTATAACGTAGTGAATATATCGCGCCAAATCTGAAAACAGAGTGTGCATTGTTTTGAAACGTTTTTTGCTGGTTCACTGAGAAGAGCATGGATACGTATGTACAGCAGATTTTATCATTTTTTTTTATATACGAAAAATATTCCCAAAAAAAAGTAAAAACATTAGTAAAATGAATTAACAAGTCTCTGGAACGACCGGAATACTAGCGAAAAGCCTAGACTCTGATCTTTATGGTGGCCCTCCCCTTTATCTAAGTTCTCTTCATGACTGGAAGGCAAATCCTTACCACTGTTATGTAAAAGTACTTAATATAGCCAATCTTATTATAAGGTACACGTATTACGAGGCATTGGCTTTAGTGATTTGAAGGCGCTTTCCGCTAATTAATAAACATAAATAAAGGTATTTAAAGTCGTGTTACGGTACTGATATTTTATAGCACAGCACACTCGTTTTTTAGCAGCGAGGCAAAGGTTTTGCACTAAACGGCATCTTCGAACACAAAAGAAGCCAAGGCGATATCATTTAGCCCTACTTAGGCAAACAGCGCTAACGAGATTCACTTAGATTACCTCGATTGCCAGAATTGCAAAATAAAACACTTTTTATGTGTTATATTACATATACGGTATTGAAATTAAAACTCTTTACATTTAAACGATTTTTTTTCTTGGAGTAAAGACCGAAGTGCAACCAATTGACGATATTATTGGAATTATTATGAATACATATGCTATATATATCTTGCGTGAACCCATGGCTAACGTCCATTATACATATACAAACCTTCACTAAAATCGATTAGTGCAACACCATCCAAAAAACTAAGAATTTTCCCGACTTAAACCAGATTTGTTTTCCAAAGTTTTGTCCCTGGATCCTAGTTTATATGAAACGATGGAAAAATCTACATTTTCTTTTTGTCAGTTTAGTGTGAACATTTAGCAAAGTTAACTTCACAAAAAAAAATAATGAATACTTACACAAATCAAGTTGGCTTTTACGATTTGGGTTTATGTTATGTTAGTCGAATGTTCTTCGGATAATGGGTGAAATCATTTAGAAAACATCAGAAATCGATTTATATATGTACTCAGATCTAAATACTTCTAGTTATTTTTTTGACGAAGTATCTCTACAGCGAGAAGTTATCTTGAAGCGTATACCAACAATCACGAACAAACCAACAGCTTTAATATTAGTCTCTAAAAAGGTCTAAAGCCGGAATTTGTGAAGCATTTCAGGCTGAGGCATGTCCTACGTTTGCTTCATATTTCAAGCGTGTACAGCGCACATGAGCAGTCGTGATCAAAGCCTTCTCTGAGTGAATAAATTCAGGGTCAGGGTTGCCGAAGGCTGTTCAAGAACTTCAATGGGTATGCATGACTAAAGCGGGTGAAGTTTTGTTACTGCGACAACAGAGCGACGACTCTGTAAAAAATATGTGGACCAAAAATTTTTCTTGAATTTTTTGCGTACTTCACGCTTTTAGTTCATAATCTGAGGTAAAAAGGAGAACGAAAATACCTGTGCGAATAAATTTTCTTAATTCGGATAGACTATGCTTCTCAGCGAATGCCACTTTAACAAAAACTTAATTTATCATAAAGGTTAACGCTGTGCAATAATTTCATAAAATGAAATCTTTTTCATACGAATTTGTACCTTTTGATTTTTTTTGTTAATTTTTCGCATTAAAAAGTTCTCATTCAAAAAATGCCTGGTCACTTGTTCATTAATAAAATCTATTCCAGTTCACACTAATTCTATAAGATGTAAAAGCATTTCCAGAAAATATAATAACCAGTGTTTTGTACCTAGTGTGAATAATCCTTCATTTCCGGTATTTACGTTAAAGAAGTATAATAAATTCTTAAACAATAATAAATAATCTATTCGGTGTCCCACATTTTCTCTGTTCGCAACAAGAATTACTTTTGTTATTTTCTAATTTTAAATGATCACTCAGTTTTCTAACGCTTGGTAATTATGACACGTAACATTAATCAAGATATATACATGTGGATACAGTAATGCAGGGTATAATGCACTAACTAATAATAAATTGTTGCAAAATAAACATACACAATACTAAGCAAGCTATAATTGTTTCAAATTGCGTAATTACTGGGTAGCACTACCATAGAAATTTTACTTTACGGGGTTGTGAATAAAGAAGTGTATCTCTACCGAGATGTATATGGTATAGAAGATATAAGATATGCAATTTTATATACAAGTACTTAATATGTCAATAAGTAATAAGTAACCAGACGAGGGTAGATTAGCATAACAAGATAATATGAAACGAACATTATAGTTGCATGTTTTATTTATAAAAACATTGACCGCACAATGGGCTTACACTCACAAAAGCTTCAGGTAAAATAAAATAGAAATACGTGTTGCATCATTTCAACCCATTCAGTTTTCATATAGAGTAAGGAACATGTCAGCTAACGTGCATGGTCATCTGAAACACTTGTTTACCATTAAAAAATCTTCGCACCTGTACATTCTCGGAAATAACACAAGCGACTCACGATTTTCACCCGGGCTCTTGAATTCAGTCTCTTACATGTAGGTTCAGGTTCCGGAAGATACAATGAAAGTTACTTAAATCTACGTATGAAAGCCTTAGTCAAGAGCAAACACTGAAATAAGTTGTTAGCCAAATTTTTCAAAAATTGATTTAGACCACTGATTACTTAATAACACACCTTCGCACAACGACTCATCCGTATTTCAGTTTGCTATCCAACTACGCATACCTTGCCATTTCTGATTCTCTTGTCAAGAACCTTCTCGACTACATATTCTTCCTCCGACATGATTAAAATGTCTAGCGCAGCCGAAGTCAATCCCAAAGCACACTAGATTATGATGTGTTGATGGGCCACCAACGTGCAGTAGTACTAACACCGACGAGAAGGCGGACAATGCTTGTTACAGCGCCCTGTTTTGGCCACAGCACGCAACCGACGCCGTTCCACTATAGCGGGCAATTTTGGCGACCGGAAATTGCCATATCGTCCGCTTAAAGTCAGGTTTTAAACTCTAATTTCGAACACATACGAACCACAGTAGATAACATATAGATCGTCAACGAATAACATGAATTGTTACCACATATTTGATTTCAGCAAAATAAAAAATGGATAAAAACTGTTTTGGCGCTAAATTTGAATTCTTTGGTATAAAAATAGGCATCTTGGTCCTTCGTGGTGAAATAGTGGGCAACGTGTTTGCCTGCTAAACTTCGTAGTTCGATTTGAACCTTGGCGTAACCACACCTCGTTTCATGCTGGAAGCCAGCCGTCCAATGGAACACCTAACGACGGTACCGGATGTAAAACTCTGAAAAGTGAGTTAGTCAACTCAATTTAAATTTGGCGCCTAAAGTCGTGCTAACTGATACCCAGTTTTGAAAGTAGCAAACGTATATGTGTATTTTAACATTTACATATATAACTTTGTGTAACTGCACTCCACGATTAATTTATCCATAAATACACGTCCTAGACATTCACTTATTTTACTAAGCAAAATAATCCAAAATTTTTTGGAACTAAACCTTTTTACAAGACCTTGAGTAACACTCCTTTTTTTGTCCGCACATGTACGGTGCATCGCGTTCAAAATAGTAAACTATTATATATATATATATATGCAAATGTTTTCAAATACACAAACGGATTTAGATGAAATCCCGTTTGCCGAAAGCAACATGGAATGTCATTTTAGCAAAGACCTGAGTGGGAAAATTAAGTTCGTCGATCTGTTTTATACAAGCAGTTGTTCTAATGTTCGTTGTTTATAACGATATTGTACACTGCAAAGCATATATGCTACATTTTCAGAATAGAATTTCGCTTTATTGAGTGAAATTTTAAAATCAGTGGGTAAAATCTGTTGTCCCACGGCTTGGCCATTTTCGAGGGGTCTGGACGGAAAAAGCCATTAGTGCATAAGCTAAGAACCTTCTAAAAAATCCAAACATTTGCATTTCTCACCGATCAAAGCAGTGTGGCCTCTTATGCGGTGCTACTTCGCGTCTGTTACCAGAAATGGTTGATATTCCGTCCTATAAGATTGTTATTGTAAGTTGATTTTGAAACTTGAGGGTGCAGACCATGCAAAGCATCATATGTTTGTTGTATGAGCGGAAGATGAGACGCAAGGCAACCCTAATTTTGTAACCATATTCTCAGTTGAGCTTCAGTTCTACCTGACTGAATCACTGAACAGACAAAACTGCCACATTTAAGAATACGAGATACTTCACATGAATTGCTTTTTGAAGCTAAAGTAACTGTATACTGCGGACCCTAGATAGGAAGTGTATCCAGCGTGACATGTTAGCGTGATTTAATTAAAAAAAAATTATATTAAAAGTTGTGTATTTTCTTTTGAGTCTGTGAAAAAAAAATCTGAGACGGTCGCTAAAGTAACAAATTTAGTACAAGGCTGCAAGCATTGCCGTTTGTCATATTGTTTTGGTATTATACTATACTCTGCAAACTAGCGTCATTTATTACAAATCAAGGTTCATACTTAATGATGATTTCTTATTGACTCAAATCTGTTTTTTTACGGAAAAAATCTGACAAACATTGCATCGAGTAAAAACTAATTTGATAAGCTTTTCCAAGCCGAAAAAGCCATCCCATCCGTGAAAGTTAGTTTGTTTAAACAATATAACGTGTGTTGTCATTTTCGGCAGATGTTTGATTATAGGTATCATAAAGAATGTTTACAGAGCTTTCATTACAGTTGAAGTCGCTAGCCGCTCCTACGATTAAGTGAAAAGTAATAACTGGCCAATCGAAATGTTTTAAATTATTATTGAGCAAACAGAATTTCTTTCTTCTCTATGTAAAGCGAGTCTATCAACCATTTGTTCGGTATTTTACTTTTTGGCTATAATTCGCACGTCACACAGTAATGATTTCTAGGAGTTACTCCAAATTCGGAAAAAATTTTGAAAATGGTACATTTTAGATACTTCTTGAATTTCAAATTTAGGAGACGCCATTATAGCGTATTGGCTTACATGTTAAGAACGGCCAAAAATATGGTCTGACGAAATACTTTTTTGAATGAAAAATAACAATTTGTTCGAAATATTTACACAACATGAAATAGATTAGGTAAGTAACTCTTTTGATATATAGCACTGTGCCTAGTAGTAGAAACTTGCTTCATGTAGATGTGAAGTAAGCTGTAATATAGCTACAGAGCGTAATGTGATGTTATGGACAAGACCTGTAAGGGACGGTACATAGATATACATAGCTGAATATATATATATATATATATATTATAGAAGTAATAGTAACGTATGCGAACGCTTAGGAGTAACTCGAATCTTGAAATGCGTCTTACGCAGTGCTAGCATTGTTTAGGAAGTGAAACCCAAATCTTTATTTGAATCTTGAAACGCAAGACTTAGTTAATTTTATGTGCATTTTTAACTAATTTTAAATTATGAACGATCGCTCCAAAATCCGTTTATCGCTCTAAGGAGAACCCCATTTATGTGAAGCTGCCCACGAAAAAATAATAATGAGATTATATAAACGATGCGCCAGTAGAAAGGGATTAGGTTCCTCCTTAAAAGCTGATACTTATAGTTACAAATAGCTAAAGAATTTAATTTTTTTTAACAAATTTTTTGACAAACATTTCAATGTTCCTGCATTTACTTTGATCTTGTCATATTATTTTATAAATGCAATTAGATTTAACTATTGAAAAATACCACGCAAGACTTTGAATTTAGCACATTTAATTATGTTCTGTACTTGATTTGTCGCCGCTTATCGCGGTTATTATATTGTGTTAGGCTGTTACACGCGAATCCGGCGGCTTTAAAATTAAATAAATGTCCAAATATGCGCGGCTAGCAGACGAAATTTGACTGGCAAACACTCCGGTAAAACCAGCTGAATACGTGGTTTTAAGAACGGAAGTTAGTGTTGAAGATTAGCGAAGAGGTGATAAGATTCTGGGACCCGAAGAACAAGAACGCATTGTCGCAATATAAGTGTCTTTTCACAGAACTGGTTTATTCCACGTGCAATTTAAGAACCTTCAATAGAATCACATGCGATCGCCATAGACAAGGCATGGTTTTCTTTCTACTGTGAGCTGAAAAAAGCCAGGTGAACGGCATCACACACAGGAGAATCGTAAAAATAATTGTTATTGTATTATTATTTCAGCACATTGTTCTATTAAACCTAAGTTATTATTAGTGGTTGAATATGTTCACTATTTGATGATTTATAAACACTTCGAGTATAAACACTTCCGGTATCGGACTTCACCCGAGCGGCCATAATTGGTTTATCCAGATTACATGCGGTATATACCAGACGGCTAGCTTCCAGCAAAATGCGAAGTGTGTCGGGCCAGGTTTGAATCTACAAGATTTCTACAACATTAGCATGCAAATACTTTAACCACTAAGCTATCACAGGAATATATGACGGAACACAGCTACCACAGAAAAAGGGATGTACGGGTAAAGCGAGAATAACTTAAGGGCAAGGATATAAACTAATACGAAGTCCACTCGTGGCTTACTGCATAAAGTATGATCCGAAAAGAAGAGAAGAAGGTTAATATTACCGTGGAATGACTTCTCTCTATGTCGTAACTTAAGTAAAAGTTTACTGTATGAATATTCATTAATAGTCTTCAACTCCCCTGTGTCGTTGTTTAGACATTTAATAAGTCGAATAAGCTTAATAAGTGCTGAGTACCCACAGTCTCTATCGGCTCGCTACATCTGGCATAGGTGGCTGACTTTTACATGCTCAATATATAGTTGATGTGTAAAGAGCACGGTTTTACCCCGGAAAAGTTTTAAGGGTTTCTCCGGTTTCTGTGTCAGAGAGATCTGAATTGCCCAAAATTTGATGTTCGACAATTTCTAACTGTAGTTTAACATAAAGAAGCTCTGTGATTTGTGCAGAGAGATTTTGTAGAACACAGAACGCGGAGCATTAACAATGAACATGACTCTCATACGATCCAATACAGCCTGCATTCACCGTCCGGCAATCATACGCAAAACCTAAGAGCAGCACGCAGAGCACTAGTTCTCTTAAACCAAACCGCAAACGGAACAACATTGGGAGTTGATCAGAGAAAGCATGCAAATTGCATGAGTTCGTACTTAAAAAACCATTTTATCTAAATAGATTTCTCGATCATTTCTTGTAGTTTGCTAAGGTTATTACAGTATACAATATATTCAGCCTTGATGAATCGATCATTTTACTTTGATTTATACCCAAGTTGATTTATGGCCTTGTAAGATGAAGTTAGGCATAAAAGGCTTTTCTTGGTATGAATAGTTTATTTTGCTTTCTTGGAATGTATGAATATATAGCATCTCTAAATTTTAACATCACGTAGTCAATTTTATTAATAGTGCGTATTAAGGTGTAGCACCTATTATCATTGAGCGTCTCTGTAATGCAGTGGTAATTGTACATGATTTCGTACCGTATAACATTGTGCAGTTGATTCAGCCTAAAGGAATTGAAATATAGGTCGTGTAAGGGTTAGTTTGACTAATATATTGTAGGATTTACAAGGTTACGGCGAACGGAAGTACTCGTTTTAATTAAGTCTAAACGATAACGTAAACAAAAAACTTCATATGTAAGGATAAAGATTTGGTTATTTATAGATTTGATTTATAGGTAAATTTATAGGTTAAAGAGATGTACATAAATATATCAGCGTATATGCGATTTTATAAGATAATGTACAAATATATGACATAATATAAATGGATACACCACATCTCCTTTTGAAGAAAGATACAGCAAGTGAGCTTGGATATCAGTTTTCAGTTTTCATTTGAACATGTCACCCGCAGAAGCTCTGCATATTTCTACGTTACCGATCGTCTTCTCTTTATATGTGGTTTATAAATCAGTCATTTCTGATAAAATAAGTACAGAGAATAAAAGTTTAAGGTTTTAAGAACGCTTTTAGCGAAATTCTGTCTAAGGAAATAAAGTTTACAATCTCTAATAGTTAAACAGTGTCTTTGTATTTAGGATAATTCACAAGTTAAATGAAAACGATGTTTTGTCTCTAAATAGCACGTAAGAGACATGTGGATTGAAGATGTATTGCGCGTCCTTTATAAGTTTTGTTTATTTGCAAAAGCTAGAATTCGAAGCTAGTATAAAATACTACTAGAAAGAGAATGAAAGTAAGATTTTTCCACAGTGCTCAATATAGGCGGGGAAGAAATGAATGGCCCAGGCTTTCAAGTCATTCTTAGAATATATTAGAGTTAATCTAAAAATGCCATCCGTTAGGTTACACAAGCACTGAACAAAGCATGCTATATAAAAAGGCATCTTTTAAACTTGATTATTTTTCTAACCTAGGGACGCCCGCAGGAGCAGCACGTAGGCAAAGTTGATCCAGATGGGCAACATCTGAGAATTGATTTCCTAAATATACGCCAAGGAATCGAGCAAATGGGAAATAGCATAAAACTAAGCAAATTACCTGGCATAATCCTAATATATATATTCACTATAGTTATATGGTCATAATATCGACACACTGGGTTCGCTCTGAAATAAAACGTATTAAGCTGCAGGCCAAATTACTATCGTTTTATACATCGACACACTGGGTTCGCTTTGAAATAAAACGTATTAAGCTGCAAGCCAAATTACTATCGTTTTATACATCGACACACCGGGTTCGCTCTGAAATAAAACGTATTAAGCTGCAGGCCAGATTACTATCGTTTTATACAGGCTTTAAATAGGAAGTTAAACAGAATTGCCAGCATTTATCTTAATGAGCTTGCTTAGGTTTGTTACATAATCTAGGATTGAGTAATAAAGTATCATCTAGCAGATAAAATCTTGAGTTTAGTAAAAATGGCTTTTATAAACAATAATTTAATTATAATAATTAATAAGTTTTTATAAAACTTATTAAGCGAGACAGGCACACATCTGCGGTAATGTTTGTAACTAATCCTTAAACATGTTGGTATCGGGCGATATACATTTAGAGCCTCAATGAATGTAACACATTTGATTATAGCATTTACGAATGTAGCTATGGGCCAACGTAATAATGTACTGCTGCTTCGCATGAGAATCGAGAGTATGGCTTGGTCAAGCTGTTATCTAAAAAATTATGGAATTTCATTTACAAACCTGTTGGGTTAACTTCTGAGTAGGCTACCAGAAAATATGTTGAAAATGGTACAAAAGCCAACTTTGCTTAATCTGATATAATGCACAAGTATCTTCAAATTATTCTAAAGAAGAGATCTAGCGGCTTCATATTGTTTCAAGTAAGTAGCTGTATAACGACTCATTTACTAATAATAATGTACTGACAACGAGTATTGCTGAAAAATCGATTCATTTATGGGCGAAACGTGAGGCTAAATATTCCAAGCCAAGCATTCACCAGGAATTAAAAAAGACTGTTTTCTGTCAGGGTCTATAGACAGAGATTCATGAGTGTCGATGACTTGGTTGTTAAGTCAGGCACTAAACAAAACCCGATCAGAGGCCCTGAATTATTTTGAGAAGGTATTGCGAAAACATATATCCCGATAATTAGCCAGGCATCCTAAGCATAGATGCATATTTAGTTTCCCTATTTGCAGTAAGCTTTCGATAAAGATTTCCAAGGTAATAATCAATTTATGTGTTAGTAATAATGAAGTAATAAATCTCTCATGAAAATGTACATGCATCAACATATTAATAAGGGAAAACAAAGTAAAGCTATCACGAGGACGAAATAGTGGCAAAGTGTCGTTCGAACAGTACTTTCAAGATGCTTCCAATTCGACTGGTAAAGGAAGGTACGTACATATTTACACGTGCTATTACTAGAGATCTTTAGCTACATAACCCCGAAGCGACACATTAGAAATAACTACTTATTCTGGATGTGCATACAACATAAAAACTAATAAAATTACGATGGCATCTTTGGATATTTTGGTTAAATTGAGAAATCTGTGCAAAAGTTGTAAAGGCACATGTTATCAAGTGTTTAATAAAAAAGTAGTCTTTTTTCGAGACACTTCAGAGGAAGTTGATTGAGATAGCGAAAGTGAAAACACCAAAAATGCTATTATGTCAACGCGGTTCCACGACTTTGGAAGATCCAAGATACCAAAATATGATCACTCCTTTATATTAAATAATAGACACTAAAGTATTCCTTTTAACAGTAACTATCTTAAAACCCGGCCTTTGCTTTATTTGACGTAACACTCACATTGGCATCAAAGTGCGGCATCTAACTGTTTTGGGATAAACTGGCAGCTATATGTATTAGTTCGAGTACAACTGAGGCTTCCAAACTGGGCGCGGAGCCTATACACCTACACGTATGGTGGTCTCGTACATTGCCTTACTAGAATTTTCTTATTAACAAAACTGAAAATTTACTTTTGACTGAAGTCCTTGCATACGACCAGATTGTTAAATAGTATGAAAAAAAACTAATTTTGTAAAGCAGCCGTATTTAAATTATTCACATGATGTGAATTCGGTTTTAAGGTCTATTTTATAAGCTGCTCTTTTAATTCACCTCTTGAATTTAGCTGAAGTTAGCCCACCTTGTTACTACTTGGATGTATGAGACACCTTTTATATATATATAAATGTATTTCATGTCTACATTTTTAAAGGACGTATCCATTGGAACTTTGAACCAGGATGCCCCATAGTAAGGTAAGCCTCTCTGCAAAACAGCAGGAAAGCCAACAAGGTTAAATGAAAAAAACGTAGAATAATATAGCTAAGCCCGGAGTATTCGCATTGTAATGTAGATGATTGATTAAGTTTTCTAAGTTACGACGATCGGTTACAATGTCTAGATACGACTGTAAATACTGCGTTTGTACTCAAGTAATCGACACGTTTCTTAACAAGAGTCATTAGAGAAGCTTTAACCCAAGTAACTCAAAACTAAATTTACTCTGCAACAAAGACTGTCCTCGTTATGTGGCAGGTATTAAAGCTGTCCGTTTAACATAGGTTCAACAATTCCTCATCGTAATAATTTAGTGTTCCGATTTGTACGTTAAATACTGCCTTTAACCTTAGCTTAAGATAGCTGACACATAACCCAGGAAGTGCCTATGCTTGGACCTGGATTCAAATGATTAAATGTTTCGAGCTTTACGCCCGATGTTGCTATTAAACACTACTTCAAACTAGATCTCGACTTCAGATTACCTCACATGTTTCAAGGCTCGTAGGTAAACAAATGGTGGATTCATATTACATGCATAGGCCGATGCTAACGAGCAACTCATATCACAATGATTCTATGTAGGAGAAGATTATAACAATTTAAATCTCGCGCTACTCAAAACACCATTACGTCACAAGCGGCATTTCAGTCATCTACTGCATCTATTGTCCCCTCCCTCTAGCGTCGAAATTTAAACATCAAATGAGGGAAAGAACAAAATGAACGCATATTTAGCCGGCAAGAGGCAGCGGTCGTGGTCTTCGAAATAAGAAAAATTCATTATCATTACACGACTTACCGCCGCTTTATTTTTGTTGAATAATAGTTCCGACGTATGTTGAATTAGTGTTTTATATTACTTGTGCTGCAGTGTTATGAGTCGTCGTTATGCAACAGCATATTAAAAATGCGCTGATCCAAGTTACCCCGGAAGCCCAACAAGCTGTCTGCCGACACAAGGCGCGACACAACAGAATTTTGCACGTTTGTGTATTACAGTGTTCCACGCTCACCGACTACTAAGCATTTACGAGGCATTGGATTGTAAAAGCGCTTGGAGATGGCGGAAGGTGGTGGTGTAAATAATTCTGGAACTGCAAACCAAAAGACGCTTCCGAGAGGAGTGCTTGCCCGATCGGGGTTGCCCTTACCAACTGGAACCAGGTACCACTGAATATACAACTTTGTTTTCGAATCTCCAGTTCTTCAGATTATACTCCAGATCTTTCTAGGTTTACTTACATAAATGCACTTAAAACTAGCCACCCATTGATTTAAAATGTTTTTTTCCAAATTATATATATACAAATTTATAGGAATATATTAACACATACAAAATCATACTATTTTTTTCTTTCCTTTAGTCCCCTTAAATATTTATTTTATGTAGATTATGGCTTAAATTAATGTGTACCCGATTCTTTTGCACTTAACATGCGTTTTATTCAATAGATATCATCGTCATTGAAAGCCTTCAAACGCCGGGAAGTACCAGATAAACACTTAATACTATTGCCTTAGATTTCTACTAAGAACTGTTACTGAAGTGATCGGCCTCATCTATTACTTTGAAATAAAGGTCTTAAGGTTGTTGGTATCTATAATAACTGAATGCCGCCTTTGCTCATGAAACTTTGTTGTAGATTAATATACTAAGGATGAAATAGCGTTGCACGGAGGGAAAAGATTTAATCGATATACTGACTCTGGGTACACTGTTCCGGCACGCATTGCTAATATCTGAACTGCTTTTTATTCTACAAAAAGCTATATCTAAAAGACTATGCTCTTGAAAATAACACTGTTAAAATATTCCGGTGATAGTACTGTACTACGAGTATATTTCTGAAATTGTCGTAGATCTTATCAGAGAAGGTTTCCTAGAAATTACGGAGAGCTACAAAGGGCGCCTAATTTATTAGCTTGTATTTTTTGCCTTTAGGTTGAATTCAAGCATCAGGGCCCCTCGTGACCTCACCCTTGGAGGCAAAGTAGGCGGACCGCCCAAAAAGTGTCTTGCTCCAAATCTCATTCCAAAGAGTAATGTCAGGTTAGTGTAAAATGGCCGGTTTCATCAACTGACCGTTGATATATATATATATTATATACAACTAAGGTGCAGCATTTAACCGCAGTATAGTATTATTATGATTGAACCATCTAACATTTAGATCATTCAATGAAATTGTAATTTGACCCAAAACAACGTCACCCAACTTTCAGGAGCTAATGTATCCAATTCAGAAAAACGTTTTTTGGTGCACATTTTTTTTTCTCGCTCACACAAGCATCTTCTCTTTCGCAAAACGCATGAAATATTTTATTTCGCATTGTACGTAAAATATTTGGTAGTCTTTTCTCCATGAGGTAAATATTCTACTTGTAACCCGGTCTTATAAGTGGTCTGAGACTTTTCTGTCGTAAATTGCCGCAGACATTCCTTAATTAATTAGTAAATAAAAATAGCAAGTGCATTTTTATGATTAAAGAAACATCTCCTAGATAATAATTTCTATTTCGTTTAGGAATGTCTTTTTGGCCATAATACTGACCAAAGAATAAGTATAGATTTGTGTTTCAAAATTTACACAACGCAACAGTAAGTCGTATGCACAGATTCGACGTCAGCTCAAACTGAAATAAACTCTTCAACATGTTCTCCCATAGAATACATATCTTTTTAGAACTTATTGCTGTATGTAAAACGGCTCGCTGTGCCTTTTCATAGAGCTTGAAAGGGATTGGTTTAAAAAACTAAGGTTTCAAATTCAAAGCAATGTTACATACTTTCCAAATATTTTTCCACACTGGAATGATAAGTTTTTGGAAAAGGGAGTTACGGTATGGTCGGCTGCTCTGACCTCTTTATTACCTACTACAAGTCTTTGCCTGGCTAGGTATCGCACCCGTGAAGTGGTTACTTCAAGCTTGAATTAGATGATTAGCCTTTAGTTAAAGGTATTCCTCGCTTTTAAAAAGCATTTTGCTTATTTGGAGAATATTAATTCTTTATATCAGTTTTTTCAACCACCCCTGGGAATTGTCGATTTTTACTTCTTGAGGAACAGACAGATTCGTTTAGTAATAATAAAGGACTACGCTTTTTCAAGCAATGAAATGAAAAAGACATTCGTCTTTTTGCCTTTTTATACCTACACCGTTCATGTAAATCTTCATTACGAAGGGACTTGTGAGGATTTTCTTAATACATGTGAACTTCACCTTACATATTACCGTTTTTTTTTTTTTTTTTTTTTTTGTAATAAACCTGAGGAAAGGAACACAGTCAAGGTTCTGTGGTTCTGAAGATGCTGTTAGCGATTGAAGTTATCCACATGCTGCAATGCTAAGCAATTTTTTATCGATTTAAAAATAATTGCGACAAACTCAGTTCACACTGAAACCTGTGAAGGAAGCATGAGTTTTGGAAGCTTGTGTACGTGTATAAGCGATGATTTCGCTTGCAGTTTATCGGCAAATGGCTTGGAGGGGCGCGAAAACGGACGTAGCGGAGTCGGTTCTCGTGGGGAGGCTGGAGGACGCAGCCGACATGATAAAGTTGGAAGTGGGTTTCGAGGGCGCGGTAGAGGTGATGGAAATCGAGGTCGGGGCCGTGGCCGAGGACCCAATCTTGTACAACTCGATGGTAGATATGCTCATATATATGATATATATAATGTCGAATGAAGAACACGAATTTGATTACCCGCATTGCTTCATCATTAGCATAATTTACTCATTAACCTAATGTTGTAATAGACTAAAGTGACAGAAGGATATTAGAGTGCATGTATAGACAATATTTTTACATGCTATACAATTTGTGTAAACAAAGAAAATTATATTTTATGAAACTCGAAACAACGGATTAACGGAAAGTTTGATGCATTTTGTTGGTTAAATGTTGGTGATGAACCAACGCGGGTATATTCGGTTTCAAACTCATAAGCGAAACAATTAGGTACACATTTGTGGAGCTATTTTGTTTTGTAAAATGTGACAAATTATAGTTATAATGGGTGAATTTAAGCATACAATAATCTAAAATTGAGGTAGTCAGTTGAAAAGTTTGTTTTTTAGGTATCTTCGTGGCAGGGTCAACACCCCCAGGAAATTGCGGCCACAGTGGAGAAGGTGCGGGTAGTTCGGGACTACGAAGTTCTAAAGATTCAAGCTTGCCCAAGTACATTCCTATGGAACAGGAAGATTGCGAAAATACGAAAGAAACCATCAGTCGACTGACTAGGGCTGATGTATGTACACATTCTACTGTACTTATTTCCGAACCTTGTTGTCTAGAAATGAATAGGCGGACCTGACTGGGTTGCACAGTCGGTCTCAACACTGAGATGATGTTTAACCATGTTAACTCTTAGGCGAAGCAGAGTTCACTGATCTATGTAGAATCTGTAATTTGAATTGCTAGAAATTTAAAGTTAAAAAATGTATATATTTAGATGGTCATTCCATGCTTCTGTTTATTACAGTTCACGGACTATGGTGACGAAGACGAAGAATGCGAATTGCCTCTTATGATTCCTCTGACAACGGCACGTTACGGTACGACATGCAAGGTGGAAGACTATACTGGTCCAGATGAAACGGTAAGAATCGCGTAAGCGCGAGACAATGTTGTCGACTCTACTTTCTAGGTAAAACGAATATGCTTATTTTGAGAACGTATTTCATACATCTTGAAAGCAAAAACTCGGTGCGGTGCCCTTCTTACGGAAGCAACCCGTTTGCACAACCTTTTGAAGTTATAAACATTAGCGGCCTAAAATACTGCATACAACATAACTATATAACCGCCTTTTTTATATATGTCGAGAATTGTCAGGTTTGGGAGATAAAGCTTAGGAACATGGTTTTAAAAATTCTAGCTGTTGTTTCTAATTATGTTAGGTCTTCATAAATATTTTGGCTTCAGATAGGTACCAGGTCTTCATTATCTTGGCGTCAACTTCGATTCTCTTTAGAAAAGATGTGACAGGAATTATTTTCATTCAATTAAAATAATTTCTTAGCTCAAAATTTAAAAAAACTTTTGCTGATCTTCTTTAGTTCTGAAATGCAAGTCAATTGATTCAGCGTGAATGCAAATAGTCATTTTGTGCAGCCGTATGCAGTCGATAAAACCTTCGGCACTAAAACAATATTGAAATAATCATCTGTCTTACTTTTTTTTTGGCATGAAATAGAGTATAAAATATGGTGAACTACTCTTGAAATTTTTTCGAGAAGCTATTCATTAGCAAATTTTTCAAACATATTGAAAATACTACGTTTTTTCAGCTACCTAATTAGGTTCTCGGAGTTCTCGCTTGACTGAACTGGCGTTGGCACGCTTTTAGCAGGACACCCTAACGCCGTTGAAAACAAGCAGGTCTTTCTTGGTTAATTTCTAGACGTCGTTGCTGCTTTAAATTTCTTAAGTCATTCGACATTCCTGTAAACGTTAGAATGTCTGAGGTACAGATCGATCACCATTGATTGGTTCAAAACATGTCTCTCGGGGAAGACGATAAATAGCCAGGATTAGTTGCATGGAGTTTGGGTTAGAGCAAGTAGACACTGGAGCACCTCAAGGTTCGGTTTTGAGGCTGTGCATGTGGGTCGTTTTTATCGATTTAGTTTTCATTAAGTTCTTGGCGAGTGGCATATGTAAAGCCATTGCTTAAGTAGCTGAAACCTACATGCTTTTTTGCGTGTAACTAATCAGGGTTGCCGATGACATACGGACTGTTTTTAAGAAGGTAGAAAGGGCTTTTGGTCTTGTCGTTGGTGTCAATAAGACACGACTCGTTTTGTACCGCTCGCCCCAATATACGTTATACTTAATGGGATCTTAATTTTATTGCGTCAAACCATAGATGTGTTGGGATACATCTTCAAGCGACGATTAAAAGGCAGGCTCATTTGACAGGCCAAGCGCTTAGGTCCAATGCTATTATTGCGGCACTGAGGAGACTCGGAAAGATTGATGTTCCAAGCGAAGATCCACCAATCTTTTTTATTTTCAAAGCGCTGTTGCTGCCAGTTATTTATTAATGGGATCTTGATTTTATTGCGCCAAACCATAAATGTCTTGGGATATATCTTCAAGCGACGATTAAAAGGTAGGCTCACTTGACAGCCCAAGCGCTTAAGTGCCATACTATTATTGCGACACTGAGGAGACTCGGAAAGATCGACGTTCCAAGCGAAAATCCACCAATGTTTTTTCTGTTTTCAATGCACTATTGCACCAGTGCTTTTCGTTAGCTTATCGTATCTGCCAATGTTTCATAGGGTCGTTTACCCAAAACAATGCTCTGAGGGCAATGCTTGCCTAGCGCTACAGGGTCTCTGTGGATGAACTTCTCACCCCCCAAAAACGGATTGCTCGATGTCGATGAACCACACACGTGCCTCGCGCTGCTTATTTTTGGAATGCCAAAAGGTACCATTTTACCATCGTCAGCAGCTTTAATCATTGCGCTATTACGTAGAAATGTTTCTTTGTTGTTGACGAATGTCTGACAATTGTCAGACTGGAGTTCTTGCCCTTGTGTAAGTTGCTCAACTTAATGCAAGAATTTGAGGAAAATTTAAAGAATTAAATTAATAAGATGCAGATTGCATAATTATGCGAATGGTGTAAATATTCTTAGTTTTTATTAATAACTGTTGTAATTATGGTGTGAAATCTTTTGTATAATAAGAAACTCACTATGGTTATTTTATGCAGGAATTTGAACGTTGTCAAGACTGCAGTTTCGTAAAAAAATCAAAGATTTAGTGTTAGTTTCCTTTGTAGTATAACTCACATTGTAATCATACGTACTGCAACAAATATTTTTCAAGGTTCACAAATAATGCTGAAAGATTGGAAAATTGCGGATATGGTTTAACATCTTGGAAATTTTAAAAAAATGTGTTTTTGAATTTTGACAATTTTTAAGTGTCCTCTTAAATTATCCTTTCCAATAAAAGATGTACACTTTTGAAGCTTTTTTGTATACACAAGCTATACAAGTCGTGCTTCAATACATACTACACTTCGTAATAAAAAGAATTCAGAACTGTTATCAACCTATTAGTTTTAAATACCTCAGTGCTAGTTGTCCTAGCATCATTTAACTACAAAAATTATATTCTTTTTTATTATAAGCTGATAATAGCTGCGAATTCACTTACCGTTTCTATTAACGTAAGAGGTGCAGGGTGTGGGTGGGGGAGGGGGAGGGGTAGGAAGTACCCTGTTTACCCCGAAGTAATTTTTACAATAGGCTAACTTATTTTACAATTGATAAGTTGTGTTCTACCTTGTGGATCAATACTCTATATTTCAGGATTTGGCAATGGAAGCAGATAGCAGTGAAACGGAACGAATAAAGCCATTGAAAGTCGATAAATCCAGTGCAGAAAGCGATCCATCAGATATTGCAAGAAACCTTCTTGGCATGTTATGCTTAGGTCATGGAGCTGTAAAAGCTGACGACGAAGGCACTACGTTAACCGTGTTTCAGCTTCCTAGGTTAGTGTATTTACTAAGCTCAAGACGTGTGTATAAAGGACAAACATAAAGCAATTAATAATTTGCTTTGTCCTTTGACCCAGTAACGCAAACCCCTTTATATTTTTTTTTCAATTTTATGCCTTAGAAATATTTAGTGTTCGTTCCTGATAGTAATCCTATTTTCTGGAATACTGTGCACCAAATTTAACCATGATTTTAATAATGGAAATGTACATTACTGTAAAAGTAAGTTAATTTACTAGATGCTATAATGATGCAACTTTTCCTGAGCCACAGTTATCTGTATTTTTTAAGAAAACTTTTTTCACCCGATACAGTTTTTCCAGCCTTCTTTCTGAAGTTTCTTCTCATTACACTATATGCAGAGGTGCAGCTTTTAACCATGACTATTTCTTCATACGTCGAACTAGAAAGGCCTAACCACCCTGGTTTGCGCTTCAAGATCAAACATTTATCGCCGGTAACGATTTTGGACAGAAGATACTTCCTTTTCTGTTATCCAAGCAACGGGGAGCATATTGTAAACATGTAAACATATTTTTCCAAAACCTTGTGAAAATTACAAAAGATCTTTGTAATCTTTTTTGTAATTTTCACTGAGTCCATGAGGTCTAATTTTTTTTGTTCTTTCTGGTACATGCAAACTATTGGTGACAGTCGTATGTGTCACTTTGGCTGTGCATAGAAATTTCGGGTGAATTGTCGCATTTTCTTTAACAAAGGCTTGCACCTCGCCATAGTTCGCTTTAAGTATTATTTGTCGTTCAAGTTTCCCAATTTCGAAAGGATTAAAGAAAAACTAGCAGCTAAAACACTCTTTGTTCTCGGCAGATTTTTTTTAGCACAAAAATACTGAATACAATTTCGGATATGCATCTTTTTGAGCTTGGTCATTGAACGTAGTGAATACGCTGAATCACCACTTGTAACGACAACAGCTCAATGAAAGGAACAGGGCAGATGCTAGTCAACACAATCGTCCGAGGAGTTTAAGCTGGATAAGATCAGTCAATTTGATGCTAACGCCATCTGTCGGCTAATGGGAGCTATTTCTCAATCTAGTATCAAATTGGAACTTAGACGGTTTTTCTGCGAAACGAAGGATGCAACGTTTCACCAAAATTCCTAACGCATACATATTCGTCATCATTCTTCACGGCCATTCCTTCTTTCTAAGCCAATTTCATGTTTTTCGTTAGAAATTGTCAGTTCTCGTGTCAGAGAACTTGTCCACCCAGAGGTTGAAACCAGCTTCACTGTCAAATGTATGGTTATTAACTAAATTTTCCAGCAATTAAAGTTGGCAAGCGTTTGGTACGAGGTCTAAGGAATGTGAAGGGGCAAAATGAACTCCTGCTTAAGCTCTTGCAGGGCTGCTTTAGCAATGTATGCCATGTGTAGCCTGGCATTGTCGTGGGGAAAAGAGCTATAACTTCGTTCACTGGATGCGACTGGGTTACATACAGATTCTTGTTGATAGTCTTGTATTTTCTCTTTCAGTTTCACAAAACGCAAATCATGTTTTTTATGACAGACCTGGTTTAACTTGTGGCTTCGGTGTAAACTGCGAAGCTACCCATTTTTTTCACTTACTATTGACGTAAGAGCACCATTGTGCGACACTTCCTTCCAAGTACCTTCGTCTTGGCCGGTGACAAGTAAAATATACACCCTAAGCCTGAAATTCTTTGCGAGCTTAGCAAACATAAGCAAATGCAAAATGGAATAGCGTTTCATCTCGAAGTGCTATTTTTAATGTTCGAATTCACTGCAAAGTTCGTTGCGGAATCAAATTTCAACCAACGTCTAGGGGAGATGATGGTATATAGAGGCAAGTGAAGAGCGGATTGTAGTAAGGACGCGATAATACCGACTTAAATGCGATATATGCACAACGCAATGCCTTTATATAGCAACAGTGACGGAAATATCCAGGACGTAATATTGAATTAACGCAAAAAGATAGACAGTTATAGGGCAAAATTATAGCAATTTTTTGTCCTGAAATTATATTACTAAAATCGATTACCTTCTGTTGTCTTTTTGTGGTTTCTGCAACAAAAATTGTAACAACTAGTTTTTGCATCTCTCCATTTAAACCAAATACTTGAGGGTTATGCAAAGACCGAAGCATATTATAGTCTGGTGCCGCAATGTATGGGCTATTCGGCGGACCCTTTAAAATCGCTCATCAAAGTTCTCTTCTCAGTTTTCGTCGGATAACTAAAGATGTACGGTCTGGTATTGTGGAAAAGACATACGACGCCTTTTCTTTTAACTAGTTAAAGTCGTTTTTTTTTAGTGTGTAACAGTGTGAATCAGCCACAATAGACCTTGTCACCGATTGTAACTTCTTTTATTACATTATCCATACTGCGTATGTAGTCCACTTCTCATCATCATCCGTAATCAACAACTTTAAATATCTTGACTTCGTTGCTGTTATGTAAAGATTTGCAGATGGAAATACAATCAGGTGAATTCTATGCGTCAATTCGTATACCACCGTCGAGTTATTATATCTTATAAGTTTTCTTTTTTAAATGGTTTAATTCGGTGATCTCTGCTATTCGGTGAACTCTTGAAATGACTTACCGTTTTTCCGTAATAGGTCGACCACTAATAAAACTATTTTTACATCAACGGAACCATTCTTAAGCCGTTTCTTTCGATAACATATCTTGGCCATAAACAACAATTTTCTTCATTCATCGTCTTTATCGTAGTAGAATTGTAAGGTGTAAAAAATATTTTTGCAGAAGGCAACACCGACCCGACGCGGTTCATATTACTTTTAAAACTACAAAAACCGTCAGTACTTTAAGAACCTAGTGTACAGCACCGTAATACTCGGCCGCGCCACTCACACGTGAGTCCCCATATACAGGATAGCGTGTGTCTTGTTAAATTCGAAACCTTTAGGCGGAAAATGACACCCGCTTGAGAGCCGGCCAAGATTTTCTCTAGTGAGGTCGTGCAATCACTCACATTTTGATATGACAAATTTGCTGTAGCGAGGTTGTCCGATCATCCATAAAATTTTTGTGCCATGCCTAGAACAGTACGGCGCATGCTTTTTTTGATCAAACCGAATTTTTCTCTACTGGAACCACTTCCATGAAGTTTTGCGGGTACGCATGTCAGCATTCTCTGCAGCCGGTCACCTGTTGTGAGTTCCTTGAAATGGGGCAGACGTTCTTAAGCACGTACGCGTGTTTGCTCCTCCAGGCCTTAAACGTCGATACACCTCTTTCCTGACCTGAGAATATATCGTGAGGCCGACGTGGAGGTGGTTTAGCACCCGCTGTCTAATTTCTTGATTCTTGATATCGTCAAGAAACGTCTCAACGTTTAACAGCAACCTGACGTGCTACAATACAAAGCATTTCTCCCAGATAAGAGCGTACAGGTCTTCACCTTTTCGGACCCGTGCATATTCTGATGTATGAATTGATGAGCCTGTAACTCCATCTACGCGTTATCGATAACGGATTTAAATCAGTATCGGGCTAAGCCTAAAAGAATCCGTAAGCAAGCCTGAACAGGCGGCCACGCGATCAACCGTAGAAATCTGCCACTGTCTCCTATGCTTTAATCAATTTTTCAGAACACGAGCTACAATACATAGTAGATTCAGCGGCAATGTGACCCCCTCTACATTCTTTCTCAAACGGTTCACCATGGCGATTAATCTCGCATTTTGGCCGAACACGTTCTTTTGGCAATCCATAGCTACCTTCTCTCTACCATCAATCAGACTGACGAGGCACTAGTACCGCCACAGATACGATTTATATGCTTTACAGCTTGTCCTTGCATAACAAAGGAGACGATAATGCCTAGGACTCAATATTACGTCCTAGGCATTATCGTCATTATTATTACCTATTATTATGGTATGCGTTGTAATAGTATATGAAACAGATTGCTTGCCTATAGTATAATTTTGACGAAACTAATGCAAAAAAGCTCGGTTACAAAGTGTGTTTTTGGAATAATGAATTGTGAAGATTAAACATCGTTATGTTAGCTGTCAGGATTGCAGGATATTTTGCTTTCTAAGAGCAAAGAAGCGATACTTTATTCTCCAATAGGTTGAGAACGTCACTGCAATATTAAGGCAGAACATCTAACTAAATCACTTTTCAGAAAACAAATTGTTAAAAAAATTGATAACTATAACTTTCTTTGTTAAATAATGTCTTCTCAGCAGAATATGGACAACTTGCACCAATTAATTTGTTGCGGAAAAAAATGTTTTCAGCATTTGTTGTGCAATTTTGAATTAAACAATTTTCATTATTTCTCAGCTTTTATTAAGGTAACAATTTTAAAGCCAGGGGTTTTGCTCGTTATTCTACTATCAGTTAACATTTTCAACATATTGTTACATAATAGGTCGCGTGCTATTTTTTTGGAAACGAAATACCAGGTTCTTTTTATACTTATTGAGGAAAATCTACCGTTTATAAATTGCCTCGCCTATAGGTAACAAAACCGTGTTTCGTTAAACTACAGCCACGTCGTTTACTTTTAAGCTAAAGGATGCATAAACCGTGCTTACCTATATTTCATAACATTTTATATCGAAACATTGAGACTAGTAATGCCATGCACAGACTTTTTCTATAAGTGATGTTTCAATCAATAATTTACTGAGATTTATCGCAGAACAATCCTAGAAATATCGGAAATAGCTGACGCATTACATTGCCAACTTTAGACTTCCAGGTCCGTCCAAAGCATCCCAGGATGAGGAGCGTCGGCTGCTGCAGAAGGATACAAATTCTTGTAAAGCTCAAACCGACACCAGCCAGCAGTACAAGCTGAGACATCTATCTAAGGGCATGTATAATCTCAAATTCGATAAATCGATACATATCAGAAAAGCACGTTTATACATCGCACCACATGTGTAAAGGAAGTATTTTTAAGTACGTTTTTTAATAGAAGATCATTTAATTTTTTATCACTTTAGGATTACCGTTACTGCAGAGGTCTTAATAATCAAGGTTACGAATAGTAATCCCATTAATTTACAATAAGTGTGCAATGAACCAGAATTCAAACCACCTGTATTGTTAAATTTATGTCTTGCAGTCGAGCAGACACAGTAAAAGTATTTATTTATTATTATTATTATTACGGTGGGCTATATAAATAACTGCTTCGAAACCAACGTAAAGGTTTATTGTATTGGGTTATCCAATAATATTGCATAACCTAATTTTAATGCAAATATTCTTTGCAATAAGTTGGTTTACTTAGTTTTTTTTTTAATATTTTTTAAAGATACTAAATGCTTCCTATTAAGACAGTTCTCCAAGGACTCGAAAAGATGATAACAAAAAAAGAGCAAGGTCGAGATTATAAACTGAGTGAAGCAAAACATTCCAATTCAACTACGAACATATTTGGCAAATCACAAAACCACGTGCGAAGCCCTGATGACACATAATCCTTTTTTATCCATTGGCCACAACCTGGCGTTTTTGTTGGATACTTTAATTTTAAACTCTTAGTATGCATATTAGACTTAGGTAACGGTTTGATTATTTGGGAAAAGCTCATAGAATAGAACCCCTTCGCAATGCCACCAAATGCGCAACGTTGGATGGTTCTCTACCGCGCTTTAACCATGATCTATTATAAAAGACGTTGTTATAGATTTCCAGCTTTTCATCACCCGTAACCATCTTCATGGGAGGATTGTCTTCATTCAGTTTTGGAGGATGACTGGCTAATTAGGCACGGTTCATCCTCGGGTTGGTCAGATCATAAAAACCCAGAAGTCTGCTTGATAACGTAACCCTTGCTTGGTATATGTCTATGAATAGTCGATTTGAATGTTCCTGTGTTTTGTACAGTTTGCCAAAGAGTCATAAGGGGGTTCGGACTAAATACAGAGAATATTTGAATGTTCTCATAATCAAGGGGTCGACACGTCTTGTCTTCTATGCTGAAGTTATCACAATGACCTGCATCTTTTGAAATACACCTGCGACTACATTCCACATACATCGATATAGTGCATCTAAAAATTGGACGCCAATGACTTGGTTGCTTAGTCACGGAGTATGTCTTCCGAAAAGACCTATGTTACCAGCAAGAAAAGATGGTGCTCCGTTAACATTGGCTGCTAGGATGGTTAAGTGAACGACTATAATTTCTCTACTACAGATCTCTATAAAAGCTTGCAGGGAAGAAAAAAGTCTAATTTTAAATGGCTCTAATACGGGTAAATAGGACTTACAATTTGTAAAGTCGAAAACAACGGTGTGTAACCGATATTGTTTCCTCATTTTTGTTCTATAGCTATTTGGCAAACGATTTTACTGAGAAACACAAATGTAATTGCAGCAATAGCAGCAAACCATGAACAAGGGTCTAGAGTAACGTTTACATTGTGTATTTTGCCAAGATACAAACTAAATGAACAGAGTTACTAGCATTCCGAAAATACCTACGTATAGAACCCGTTTGCCATGAAATGCTCTATATAACAATTACAATATTATAAAATTAGGTATCACAAAATGTTAAACTGTAAAACTAGTTTTCGTTTGTCTTTACAGAAAAAGTATATATATATATATATGATTTACATTAGTGCATAGATGGTTTCCGAGCAAGGGTCCCCAAGTGCACACCTCGGAACTGACCTAAGCTCTTCCCATGAAAAAGGACCGAAGAACCTTTTGGTATATATATCACAAAAATTATTATTCTTATGCCTTGAGTAGCTTCTCGCTGATATGCTACCTACATGGATCGTTTACCCTCACAGTGTTTGAACATTAATAATATTGTACATTAATAATGTACAATAATACATTTATGTATATCATTATTTGTATATCATGTTATTAGTTTTTAGTATTATTTATTATTAGTATTATATATTAATAGTTGTTAGTTTTATTATTGGTAAAGATTTTCCTGACATAGACTCTTGCCGCAATGCCTAGGAGGTTACGGCGATAAACAAATGCTTATTATGTAGAAATTATAGTAACGTATCGTTTTGCGTTTGTGACGGAAAGAAAATGTGAAAACTTGAAATCTTCCATTACTATGCCCTCTATATGGCTCCGTGTGACGTGCTCCCGCCAAGGTGTAAAGCCATGGGCAAATGAATAGCTACGGTAGATTTGTTAAAAGTACAATAATATAATTACGTATATTTGGACGAGCCGATACAAACCGTAAATTGGTCTCTAATTTTATAAAGGGTAAATAATTTGTTTGTCGAACATAGGATATCTCGGAAAGCTGCAGGTTCTACGAGATGGCAGAGTTCGAATGGTCTCAGGAAGAGTATCAATGGAGTTGCAAATGGCATCCGAACTACCACTATATCAGGTAAAGTACTTATCTGCTTATAGCGTTGTGCGACTTACTGTATTTAAATAAGCGTTTTGGCTTGCAAAATTTTTTTATAAAAAAGTAAGCATAGATAATGGAAATTATCTAGCCCTAGCAAACGTGTAAGATGCACCTAATTATACTCTTTTGCATCGTATGTACAGGAGCTCGTTGAAATCCAGGGACGTATGGTGATCCCAATAGCCAAAGTTGAAAACAAGGTCGTGTGTCGTCTTAATCCAAAGGATCTAGTTGGGGAAGGCACCAGCAATAGCAACGTTCATAATAATAGCCAATGACTCTACAAGAAACCGAAATAGAAAAAATACCGTATATAACAGTGTTGATGTTTATTATACACTGCCGCATAATCGAGATGGTCAAAGACTGTTGTAATTAAATTAGGATTAACTCTAGGAGATGACGCTCCAGTAAGTAAACAAATAGTAAATTATATTAAATTGAGATGTATAGGCTGTTCGAGAAGTTCCGAAGAAGAGAAGTTCGAAGCCCGATGGCGCTCAAAAAATTTCTACAACTAACTATACAAATGCAGGCCCACGAAGCTCGAACAACTCATTATTATGAGAAGGGTGGAACAGCTGTTTATCAACCAGCGATTGATGTGATTTCGGTGTTACTCCGGTGGGACTGGCAGCAGTTAGAAGTGGCCACATGCCTAATGTTAGTGATTATATGTATTTCACCGCGCTGAACCGCAAAGTAGTGTATGTAAACGTGAATTTAACACGTATATTGGGGTGAGGGTGAGGTCTGTTTCGCCTTCTAATATACTGACTTATGTCTTTTGCCGAATTTGCAAAGATGGTTGCGAACGTCTAAAATTCAGTAAGCCTTTCTACAGTCAGATCTGACCACCTGATTTGGCAAGATATTTTATGCTATGCACGTAGCGATGCACAATCCGCAGATATCGATGCAACAGTCCATCGTTTCCTTCATAGGATTCTCCATGAGAAAATTGTGATGTAATTGTTTATGTTATATAATGTCAAAAAAATTTTACTAAAGTGATTGCGTATATGTAAGCTGGTAGATGCTATTGAGTACATATGATACCATATTTGGTTCACTAAATTGATAACACGATAACCATTCTGAAACTCAGCTCTTTTATTTCATGCTAAATATTGCAAATGCATAACATACAAAATCGTAGTTTACTCAGCTTTTTTTAGCAGTATAAAATATATAATTTAATGGGTTCAGGCGAATTGTAATGAGGCGAAGTTGTCGGCTTTTGATAGTAACTTCGCAGTAACAAATTTGGTGTTACCAATCTTTAGTTCCTTTTCAGTGAGGTCTGGCTCTCTTTACTGATTCAGCAAAATGTATGTTGGACTAGAAGTAAAGAGAGGCGTTATATAGACTTCAGCTAAGTTTATTTAAATATATTTTATAGCTTTACTGCTCCATCCGTTTTTTCTAAGTGTCACATTTCCGATAGCTTCCACTTCTCTGCCAGCTCAAGGTATCCACGAAGTAAACAAGAAATTTTTGTCAATAACTTTTGTCAGCTACTTGTCAAGGGGAATCCTAATTTAAGTAAGAAAAAAAGCAATTTGTCGATTAGTCCTTCATATCATTTATTCTTGACCGTTTCGATAAACAAGATGGCTTGCAAAGGCGCAATAAGTTGCCCAAATGTACTGAGTGTGGATGAGAGATATAGTTCTACGACAAAAATCTCCTTTAGTGAGAACACTGTTGTCCATACAAGCTTGAAAGTGCAAGTGTATAAAATGTACAGATATGTAACAAGAGACAACGTTTGGTTGCGTTTAATCAACACTTATCGTTGATATTATTTGACTATTTTCTCATTTGTGGTTGAATAGAACTTATTAAATATCAGGAGAACAACTGCTGTTGTTTTTGTTTACGTATAGATAGTATTCTTTATTATGCAAGTGAAAAGAAATAATTCTTCGTTCATATATTACAAAAAAAATTATATAATAATACCTTTTTTAAATAAAGAGGCCCTAAAATAAAGACACGCACCCCTTGGGTCGAAATAATGAAGTGATGTTTTTCTAGTAGGTTAGAAAACGATATTTGCAAAACATTACTATTGGAACTTATAACCCGATTGTTGGAAAAAGCAAATAAACTGATTGCGTTAGCTATTAAAAATGTCGATCTTTCGAGCCAAGTATAACAAACACCATTAAAAGACAGTATCCTGTATAGCTTCCGTTATCGTATACCAGAGTTTTTCTGTCATCATTATAGCAATATAGTTCAAAACTGGTATTCACGATGTGCCTCATAGATGATGAAACAGCAAACATGTTTCGATCCGTTGAGTTCACATACTGGTTCAAGTAAGCTTAACAGAGGTTCTCGAGCATTTCGAAATGTTATATGGAGACAGCCAATCGGTAAGCTCTAGAAGATATGAATAAGGAAGCCACAGTAAATAGCCATGATTAGAGAACAGACCATTTCTAGCGCACAGATTACCATTCTTCTCAAAGTCTAGACATCTTAGTAAGAGAATTTGTCGAATCTCAGTATGTTGAAGCTGCATTTCAATGCTTACTACTATTGCCATGCTTACTACAATGCCTACTATTATACATCTGAATAGAAGCAGAATAAGAATCTAAATAGTAAAAGGTCATAAATAATAATAGTGCATACCTTGACTATTAATAAAAAAACTACTCTTGTGAAAAAAACTCGAGGACTCAGTAAGTTCGGCCTCGCGTTTCACACCGGACGACCTGATAGTTACCGATTGTAGAAACCAGTTTTACTGAGACGTATGTGTAAATTAAGATTGAGAAAGCTTTTATCAACTATAAATGTCTTTAAAGGAGTCCATTACTGTCATCTTTTGGCATTTCAGGGCTATCTTATTCTGATCCGGTCTTTCTGTTAAAAGAAAGTAATGTCACTTCTGGGTTGATAAGGGTATCAAAGTGTTCAGATTGTCACAGTCATAAATCCTTTAATAAAAGGTCAGGGTGAGCAAGTATGAAGATGATCGAATTCAGGTTTGGAATTAGAACTAGACCTAAAAAATTGAAATGTCAATAATTTCTCTTCACTACCTAAGCTTCATTATAACTAAAGAAAAACTTGACTCAAAAGATACAAGGTCTAAACCAAAATATCACCTCTCAGTAATATATCAAAGTTGAGGTTCTTACTACGGATGATAATCTGTTATCTAAAGGCATTTAGGTGAATTTATGCATTTGCTGATAAGCTATTTCGATAATGTAAAATTTTTGTCGCAATTCGCTCGCAAAAATGAAAGATTTCTAAAAGCAGTATAGTCTTAAATTATCACTTATAATCATGGCTAATACCTGTTAATACGATTGCATGGGTATTTCGCACTGATGGTCAGACAGGTCTAAAAAGATACTTTACATACATATATAGTACGAGATTTTTAAGAAAGGTTTCATGTCTTGTTTTTGCGTCTGAAAATTACTTAAGCATATTGATGAAAGAACGTTCTTTTCTTACTTAGGCCATTTTGGACCCTCTATTGTGATAAAAAAGAAATACCAACCTATATTGCAAACAGGATGCGGAGATGGGCATCGCTTTTTTTAGAAGATCAATTTGAAATTAAATGCAAAAGAACTGATGAGTGAAACAATAATGATGAATAACTGATTATTAAGTTGATGGCTTTACGACTAATTTCTAATCAACGAACTTATAAAGAATCATGAAATGAAGTTGTAATTGAAGAAGATGACCATAATATTTCAATCTGATTTTTGTTAACCTGTTAGGTCAAGAAAACAACTGTACACGATTCAAACAACCAGCAGAATTGTATTTAAATTGGTCTTTGATCAACAATGACCCGGATAACGATCCGACATTGTTCAGGTCATCATTATCCGTTTAGTCATTGTCTAGTTAGCACTGATTTACAAAACCCAAATAAGACACCTATACAAAGTTAGCTTGCACATACTCATTTATTAGAGCGAGCACATGTATTTTACAGGAGGATGTTCTTAACTCTGGTATATTCTACGTGGCCCGAAATATATACATTTAATACCACCTTTATTTGCACAAGAGTTCCAGTATTACAAAACACGTTCGCTCATCTTGGATACATTGTTTTTACTGACAACGGAGTACAACTCAAATGTCACACGTTGCTGATTGTATTAAGCAACATGGTATACGCACCACACATAGCCAACGAAGGAGAAAGGTTTGTTAACTTTACAAGTCACGATAATTTGAAGATAACCTATATTATAACATTGGGCACGATCACAGTATCAAATAATTCCTGCGGAGCTATTTTTTAAGACAAAATTAAGAAATGTTAACTTAAAACTGATGGCGTCACACGATAAGTTAAAAAATCACAATAATCGATCGACGAATATAGTTTTTTGCAGGGGTAAAATATAAAAATCCGCATTGCGCTTCGCGCATGGCAGCCGAATAAATCACTGGAAGCGTGACTTTTTTGTTGCCTTTGCGCGTAACACTACCATAAAGTTTGCAGTTTTTACTTATTTGCCGATAGCTGCGTATTAGACTGTAACATCATGTCACGCGGTTTCAGTCTTTTCTTAGGATGGCTGTGAAGGCAAAATTTCCCAGTCAAGTTAATGCCAAAGCTCGGTCTAATATTAACGACAGTTTGACGATACCTTAGCGGATGTCCTGTCATATCTAACCGTATTTATGTTTTCCACAAGCAAGGCTTATGTTGTTTTGGCTGTAGCTTTTAGCTACATTCTAACTACAAAAACGTTCCTGTTGCCTTGTTGAATTAGAAAACACAACGAGTTTTCGTAGGCTTCATGGGCACTTTAAGCATGTTCAGAGCGCCATCCATTCATCTTGTCTTCAAATAGAAGTAAATTAGAGCTAAATGGCGTATTAACTGCCCGCGTTTAGCAGAATATCAATTCAAGTATCACTCTCCGACCACCCAGTCCAGCTCGGTTCTTGTAGCGATGAGCACACAACTTAGGTGGACTGGCTATTGTTGTTCAGTTAGTACTAACCCCACGTTATCAATTCGTTGAACAACATTTCTCCGCAGACGACTGTTGCGTAGTGCATTGTTCCAGATTTGACAGTACATTCATTGATTGAAGACATCTTAACTAAAGACATTGCACTAATGACTTATTTATTTTTCTGCGGTACGCACAGACTTGGTTTACGTTGTATTGTATCGTAAATTAATTCAAACAGATACTTTTCCAGCGTTTTAGCATGTGTCTGAGAAACGCTATTCATGTCTAATCAGCTACGTTCAACTTAACGACATGCGTGGTTACGGAAAATATAATACACTTCAGCTATACGTTCTTCGCAACTGAAAACCCAGTTATCCACTGTTAGTCAACACAATTCGCTCCAATCTTTATTGGAATAGGTTTATTATGTCTATTAGTGTTTTATCAATGCCATCAAGGAAATTCATAATAATAAACGGCCAAACAAGCTTGGATAACAAAAGTGGCCTATGTAATGATATGGCAATTAGAAGTTGAGGGCACTTTTGATTTTATTTTGGTTGGTAGTTGTTCTTAAATATAACAATGCTTTCAGTATGGTTGAGATATTTACAGTTATTTGTGTTTTGCGATTGGTTCTTTGTAATCGTTTCTCGGAGACATTCTCGGCACCAACTTGCTTATTTGGTTTACGAGTTCATACATATTTCCATTAATTTGAGTGTATATATAATCAATTTAAGGTACTGGAGAGACCTTTACTGTACCGTAATTTTTTTTAACTGCAGACGATTTTTATCTACAGTACTCATGAATATGACCTTGTATATCGTTTAGGAAAAACTGATAAGAAAAAAGATGCAATAGTCATCATGTGTCAGAACAATCCGAGAACTTTTTGAAAGCAAGTATAAACGAAATAAAAACATTCACTCGGTAACATAGAGTAGTATACCTATAAAAATGAAATGCTGTTTGGATGCACGTCATTTAATTTGATAATCTGGTAGTGCGTGTTATTTCTCTGAATTCATCCTGTCGGTGGCTATTCATGAATCAAATGTCAAGAGGCTATTAAATATTGTGAAACAACTCGCTTTTACTTTTGTTAATTGATATTTGTTCGTTAATATTTTCCTTCAAACTGTGCTGATGTTATATTATCTTAACATTTTCACTGTACTTTTGATCGATGGTTTGCAAGGACTGCTCTGTTCGATTGTGACTGGTTCACAAGTATTACAAGAAACATGTCGAAGTGTACTTTCCAAAAGTAAACGACTTGTGAAGACGCCAATGAAAACTCCTGCGATAGTGGTAGTTAATTTCCCATTCCTATCTTTCCGTTTATGGTTTGTCTGACAGGATAATGTACTACATGCGAAACATAAGTTTTGATTTGTTCTCAACTGACATTAGGCTATTACATACGAAATTTGTTCCACTTTATTTGCTACGAAAAAGATAAATTGATCCATCTATTTTTCGGCTTTCTCCGAAATAGCGTTCTACTCAAAAATAGATATGCGTCTGTATACGTTTATTTTATAGCATTGGTTGCGTTTTTTTCTGGACCAAAAACAGTTATGAAATGCGAATTCAGGAAGTGGCTCTTAGGTCAGATTTGGTCATATTTTTTTTGTTTCATGCATATCTTCTTACCACATAAATTGCACAAACGCGGGCAAGATTTGACAGAAGAAATTATCTGAGGGTAATCGCACTAACATAGAACATACAAAGGCTGGCAACTCTGTTGTCTGAAGTCCCTGCATAAATAGCTGAATCAATTTCTTTTTATGCTTCTGGGAACCGTCAGGTTTTACAACACATCATATCATCGTCTTATCTTAAGGATTATTTTCTTGAAAACAAATCAGTGAAAACAAATCAGTTTAAGATTATGAACAACCGTTATAGTTTTTTTTTCTGACTGGAGCTAGGCTTTGTGCTAAACAAGGCAGCGGTATTTCAAAACTTCATTATAATATTCCTTTGAAACCGTAAACCGGTCAAGAAAAACTCACATCGATTTTTGGGTTTATTTTGAATAAACAGCATAAATAGATCACAACTATATTGGAATTGAAGATTGAGAGAATCAATAAGTAAGAAATTTGCTACACCATTGCTACTTATATCATATTATGATAGCCGGGTTATCACCGGAGATCCTCTGCATATGCAAAGGAGCAATCACAATATGTAATGTAAGAGCCGTAATCTGATGTTAATGAGAATGAAAAAACGATATTGAATTCTAAAATATTTAAGTACTATGTTTGGATAAATTAAACACTATGTAATTAGACGTTTTACAACTTCATTTTGTAGCGCTGTCTTCATATAATGCGTTGAGCTGATTCGAAAATATCTCTTACTACATGTGCTTAAAATATAACTAAGTATACAGATAATAAATTGGATTGAATGATGCGTCTACCTTGAGTTCAATAACTAGGCACAAAAGCTGGAAAATAAAGGCTCATTTTTTAAAAAGTTTCTATCTTCTGAAGAAAGCGTTCGAAACAAAAGCGCGTATGTACCGTCACCTGCAAGCATAAGCGTTCGGAGTACGAGAGAAGCACATTACCCCTGCAAGGTTCAGACGTTCAATTATCAATACAAGGTCGCAAAAAGGCCTTTCAGACGCACAGAACGTCTGCATCGAACAAGCGACCAATCAGTTTAAAATTATAAATAACCGAAATCCTTAATTCTCAATTCGTTGAGATAAAGCCGTAAAAATGCTCGTTTAAATGAAAACTCAATCTCGTAAACACCGCCTTTTTCTTATGAGAATTAAAACAGAAGCCGAAAACATGTCGTAGGGTAATACACTATAGTATCGGTTCCAAAACAAGTGCAATCTCACTCGAAAGGTCGCTGCAATAAACACGGCACCCTGCGTTTACGTGGCTGGTTTTATAAACTGATCTTTGACAGAAGCAGTGCTGGCTAGTTTTTTACATTTGCTATTATTTTAATTCACCCTGTTTGGTATCGAGCGTATAATATTTTCTCGACAGCTGAGTGTCTGTCTGTGTGTGCGTGTGTTTCTGTGTGCGCCGGTCATTGTTGCAGCGGTGCATTGGCAAAAGGGCCTCCATTACAAATCTAATGTGGATTATGATGCGTACATTCGTATACATAGAAAGAAAGTACGTTCTGGCACAACAACTAACAGGCATTAACAACTGTCTACCCCAACTGCCTTTCTACTATGTACAATGCATGCGCAGTATTTTGCACGGATTTTCGTTGTAGGACTATCACATCCCCAACGTAACATCTTTCTCAGTTACTTGTGTTCACAAAGTTAACAGCTGCTGCGCTAGACATTAGCAACATCAACAAGTCGGGCGCCTACTATTTTCTCGGAACCACTCAGCGACTCGCGCAGTAGCCTCAGGTGTGTCGTACTTTTTGATGAACTCGTGCTTCATAAGTTTGTGATATTTGGGTCGGTTTTTGAAATCCTGAAAAATAATAAGTATATATTTTTAATCATATTTCTAATTAACCCTAGCAATATTTCCAAAAATAAACAGAATTAGCAGTTATGATCAATCGAATATTATAAAATTATGGCTTTTTGTACATTTAGTGGTTGTAAGTACGACTATCTTGAGACAATCCAGTTGTAAGTTTAATGAACTACCAGCTGACGTAATGTTAAATTTTGAAGTCTACACACACCTTCGTAAGACAGAGTTGCACGAAGTCACAGAGTTCTTTGGAGAACATTGCTTCATCTAATCTTGGCGGATCCTGTATTGCAAAATCAAAGTTAAGCATAGTGTAGAGTAGTAACCGTAGTATTAAACTCCATAATATTTCTTATTAGAATAGCAAAAAGGTTGTTAGTTATAGCTCGCTATCGGTTCGACATAATGGAGACTGTTGGCTAATAAATGAATACGTTTGGTCACTGTACTAGTCCGCTCAACAATTACTGTTTGTTATCCATATGCATGACTCGGTTGCCCAGAAATACATGCGTCCCTGTAATTGCCTGCAACACTGCGGTTGTGTTCATTTAAGCATACGTGCAAACTATATTTGAAAGACAATAATATAACCATGTTCCGTTCCAGTTTATAACGTAGGCCTTACAGTGAGATATTAGAAACTACTAAAAGCTTTAGTAAAAATTGCAAAAATAGAGGTGGAGGAGTTAAAGAATAGACGTCAGATATCTGATAGCGGAAACGATATTTGCCAGTGTTCTGCTTACATAGTTATGTGAAAAAAAACTGCGTGAAATAAAATTAAACAAAATTGGGTGAAATAAATTCACTTCGATTCCGATCAAGATTACATTTCGAATTCCATGGCTAACTAAATACGCACCTGGCATATACTGATCTTCCAATATTAATAGCATAGATATATGTCTCGGCCCAGTTTCAGAAAAAATATCGCACTGCAGCGCCAAAAATGTAACACCAAACAATAATAAAGATATTTGTTTATTTCTTGTTTTAATTTTTTGTTTGGTGACCCACTACAAAGGCGAGCTTTTACCTTTACGAAGAGGTATGTATCAAAGCCAAAAAAAACACTTTTTCCCAAAAACTGATAGGTTTTTGGTCCATATCTTTTCAAAAAATGGGGAGCAGGAGCATCGTTAAGACGCTGAGCGTTTCGATACTGGTCCCTACACTTGAATAGACAAAGCGCTAAGTAACACAGCTTATTAAACGAAAAAACCTGAACTCATATTTACTTACCTCAAAGGTATGTACATATATATATTTTTTTATAAAGGTTTTAGCAACGCAAATCATTTCCAAGAACATATATTTTATTCAAATTGGAAATGAAACCAAACTAGTAAGTACTGTTTTGTTTCAATCTAAGTATGTTCCTCAAAATGTTTGTTTTCTAAGCTTTCTAGATCGCTATTTATAAAGAAATGTTTCTGTACTTTGCTACAACCACCGCGTACCTTGTGGAAATTAAAAAGAACAAAAACGTATAAGGAATTCTAAAAGGTCTTACACAAAAATCTTGATAGTTCTTATTATCTTGGGTTTTTATATTTTTCTGAAATTTTGCACACGTAGGCAACTTTGAGCATGATCCTCTATGTATGTAACTAAATGTATTGAATATTTGTGCTCTTTCTTATTATACAAATCACCCTAAATGTACACAATCTTCCAAATAAAAAGATATATTGTCTGCATAATTAAATGCCATTGTTCGTTCATTTATGGGCTTTTGCAGAACAATTAACAATAATATAAATATTAATTATAAGTTTAATGCGGGAAACGTATAGACATATCATCTAGACAGTATCTGTTCCATATTAGTAAGTGCCCTTAGCAATCCTTAACTGTAATGATTTACGATTGATGGCAGTACAGCTGAAGGTTGTGTTTCAAACGCTATCCATAACGTGTAGAGTGAATGACATAAAATTCCATGTAAAGGGAACACTAGCGAAGTTCGTTTTGAAAGGGAAAGTTGTTATATTTACCCATTTATACCCATTGCCACCATTGGCATTTTTGGCGTCACAGGAACTACTACTTCATGCTTCCTATATCATGCTATACTTCCCACGTGTGAAAAGTTTCAGGAAAACCTAAAAACACAATATGACAAGAACTTCTGTATATAACCTTTTAGAAATCCTTATATGTTTTTTATGTTATATGTACATATATGTGATACATATTATATGTTTGCACAAAGTACGTGGTAATTGTAGCAAAATACTTGTCTTCACTTTATAAACAGGGGGTCTAGAAAGCTTACAGCTGTGAGGGCTAGAGTAATGGATAAATGTATTGAGCAACCTACTTAACATGAAATGTAATAGTATGTTCTAATTTAGTTTTATTTCCAATTTGTATAAAATCTATGATTTTTAAAACTATTTGTGTTGTCAGAAGCTTTTTACAAAAATATATATACATATACCTTTAAGGTGAATAAATATAAATTCAGGTTTTTTTCCTTTAACAAGCTGCGTTATTTAGTGCCCTTGTCTAACCAGCCAGGAGCCAGTAACGGAGAATTATAGGGTAAAAATAATTTGCTATGTCTGCCGATTAATTTTCTAGAAAATGAGTTCCTCAATGGTACAGCCGAAAGGACATTCTTTCGCAAATAATTCACTTTCTTCTTTGGAAGAGAAAGCTGTAGCTTCCTCAGGAAAATATTTTTAGTTAACTATTTACTCATTTTATTTTTAAAATAAACGCTCAAACTAAAATTCAAATTAAAATAAGCATATAATAGCACCCCTACTTTTCGATGTTAGTACAAAGTCAACGCTGCCTGTTCTGGAAACCGAAATTATAATGCATGTATCAAGGTAGAGAAGATCCATATCGTTTTTTGAGCCTTAAAGGGATAAAAGTTGAGTCATTATCTTTAATAAATAAAATCGTTATTAATTTCGGGAAGTTAATAGACTGTAATAAAAATAAATAAGTAAAAAATAAACAAAAAAAATATGTTCTTATGAGGCAGTCTAAATTTTCAAAATTAAATAGTTTTTTTGGAAGTCATATAATTTGAAATACAGCATAATCGTGTTACCCGTTCAAGAACGTTGACGAGTAGCTCAAAGTCGGTTGTACAGGATGCGTACGGATGACGGCCGGTAGCAAGTTCCACAAGAGCAATGCCTGAAATAAGTGTACAGGAACTATGAATTACTAATAGTTGAAAATATCGCAAGTTTAATCTTAGATAATTAAAACTAACTACCGGCTAGAGGTAGTTGTCGAATCTACGAAAAAAAATTCTAAAAAACGCCAGTTAAAATTACTTAACGAAATTAAGAGCCAAAAATTGGAAAGTTCTGCTTCCAAATACGTTCTACAGGCATGCGAAAAATCAATGCGACGGCGGAGCTTTAATCTCTGCCTAGTAAAAACTTTTTGTTTGTCAGGGACACCCTTCTGTCAATGTTACGTATCCAAGCTGATTAAAGTAATCAATTATGAGGATGAAATTACTAAAAAAGTCGCATTAGCCTCTTGAAACATTCATACTATGTTATATTACAATTTCATACAGATGGCCAAAGCATTCCGAATGATTTCGCACGAAACAGAAGTATACTGTAATTGAGATTGGGAAGACTGACCTTCTTATATAATAGATAATTAAATAAATATTATAATTCATGGCGTTTTTAAATCTATCAGTGTATCTAAACTGCGCTATTGGCTCATTTTAGGAAACCTATCTACAAAAATACCATAGGTGATAGCACCACTTATCCACTCTTCGCCGCAAATTCACAATACTAAGCTCCTGATTTACTTCCGAGTTTACTTCCTGATTTACTTAAACTGAATCATTTAGGTAACAGTAATGGTGCATTCTTGAGAAAAGATCTACGTCGATATGAAGTAACTGCAGAGGCCCTTTATTTTAAAAGCTGGGCCTGAACTTGGAGCGATACTATTGTAAAGCCCACTCTTTAAATCTTGCCCACAGCGACTTCTGCATTGCTATAGGCCCTAATTAATTATTTATAAAAAAATATTGCCCTAAATAATGGTTTTATTCATCTTTCATTACAATTTCATTACAAATTTGTATCCCCAATGCAGGAGTATGCAAAGAGTATGACACGGCAACAAACGAAGAAACACTACGTTGAGAATTCATACATTTGTGATTAGACAAATCCGGTTCAAGGGTCTTTCGCCGCAAACTTCACTCCTTACCTAGGCTCCAAACATCTGCGCGGACGTCATAGTTCCTACCGACACGTTCCGGGTCAATTCTTTCTGGAGCAATGTAACCTGCTACACCGGCGCTCTGCGTTTTCGCCTTTGATTCAACCAGTTGACCCGCGATTCCAAAATCACACAATTTCACGTTTCCTGCACATTAATGGTACAACACATTATCCAAATAAATCACTACCAATTAAACAACTTCTGTCGTTTGTAAGTATTTTTACCACATTTTAAAGCAAAAAGAAAAAACAAATGTAGACACATGAGAAAACCGTTTAAAAGGATTAAGTTTGGTTTGACCTGTTTATGATACTGGATTAATCTAAATAATATTATGCATACGGAGAAATCGAAAAATTATGAAACGAGGCCTCCTTATGACACATCACAACAACTGCTGAGATGTCTTCTTACTATTATAAGTTCAATTGAGTGTAAGTTCACCCTTACTCGTAATTTTTTTAAGTTAGATTTTTATTATATATATATTTATTATTATTATATTATATATATAAAATTAGATCGTTTGCAGTTAGTACAAGAAAAGTCTGTGTAAATTGACTGACTTAATTGACGGGCATTGAAGAATAATTATTTTAGAAGCAACGATATTGTTTACTGCTAAAATGTTAATGATTAGGTTTTTGTTTCTATAAAGCAAAGGCCATGTTTATCAAAAGCCTGTACAAAGACGCCTTTAGTGAAGCAACAGTTTATCACTGGTATAGTCGAACTGGGAAGTTGAATTCCACGGGCAAGGTGACTGCACTTTTGGACCTCAAACAAAAGTTTTATTTATCAAAGCTGCGGCCGGAATTTTTCGTCATATAACGATGGTGTATTCCAGGTGTTATTTTTTGCTGGTACTAATTGTGCAACTTGTCTTTAGAATGCACCGCGTTTGTTTCCATCTAAGGAGGACACAGTTCATGAGGAACCTACATTTTTTTTATTACCATTTCAAGCAAACAAAGCTGACAAAGAGCGCACCGTTCATGCTCACTTTGCTCACAAACTTCCGTGATCGCGTAAATCCGGTCTTTTGCTTGAGGTCCTAAAGGTGTATTCGCCTTCTCCGTAATCCTTAACCTCTCAATCTTCTTTCTTAAAATGACTGAACCGCTGTAAACTCTTGTTTCGTTAAAGCTTTCTTACTTAGCACTTTGAATAATTTTTTAGTAATTGCATTAGAGTCCTCTAAGCCCTTAGAAACTTAATTATTAAGCATTATATGGTTAAAATAAATAATTAAGAAATTACCTAAATATAATTATTTCATAAGCAAACTATATATTTGCCCCTCAAACTCATTATTCTTCGGTAATACTCGATCAGCTTATAAAAAAACAACGTAAACATCTTGTTGTCTGCTAATGGCGCACAGTTTGAAAATTATTCGATACTCACATTGTCCACTACTTCCTCAATGTTATATTATCGGTTCAGTAAAATGTATTTATATTTGTCAGATACACTACAACAATTATTGCATAACAATTTTTCATACATATACATTATTGTAAATGATTATGGGAAGATCAAGATAAGTATACTTTTAGAAAAGTTAAGATGGTAGGTTATATCTACCGTTTAAATTATTCCTGTATTATGCAGGGCCACAAAAAGGTTTTAACTCCATCTGGACGCAGGCAATGAGTTTTTAATTGCAGTGTATTTGAAAGGTCAGCTCATATAGATCGGTCAGAAAACGAGTTTTAAACTAGATTTTTAATAAAAAACGCAGTTGGTACTCATTGATGCAGCAAATATCTTTTAAATGCTACCGTTTTCTGACATCTCTGCAAAAACTTTTTGTCATGAAAAATCAACCAATCCGTCATTTTAAGTAAATAAAAAAAAAACATTTTTACTCTAAAGTTTATACCTTTTACTTCCTGATAATTTGTCTTTTGGAAAATATTTGATTTAACATACGAACTTTAATTACGATCTACATCCGCGAGACCGCCTACAAGACGCGCTTAACGAAATTGTGATGTGTGTTATAGAATTTTTTAGAAGGTTTTAAAAAATGTAATAATGCACACTTCGGCCATAAATTGTTTTTCAAAGAAGCGTGCTACAAATATTCTGAGCCGTTGCTAATGATGTCGTTCGGCTTCGCCGTGGGCATACAAAGCATAGCTATTTTTGTACAGCTCAGCTTTTGTTGACAAAACTCATCTACAGTCTCGCGACTTACGCATAATAATACCCTTTCGAACATGGTGATGCCCATTAACTGTCTGAAACAGGCTATAGGTAACCACGGCTTGGTCAAGGTAATAGAAATACACTAAGTTATACCATTTGTTCTCGGGGAAAGCAGCTTACGATCGAATGGCTTTAGATTATATTCATAAATGGGCAGCCTGGCAGATAATTTGATCCCATATCTGTTAATCCTCAATCTATTGTTTTTAAGATGATTTTATCGACGTGCATTCCACTGTCCGACAACTTTATCTGGAAACCTGACGTTCGGCTTTACACTAGGTTTCACGTAATATAATTAAAGATAATCATCATTGTTGTCACTAGCGCTACTAAGAATCATAAAGTACTTTGTGTTGGCAATTGTATACTCAACATTTCTTACAAGTCAGGAGAAGTTAATAAATTTTATAACTAGTTTAACTAGTACCGGCTTTAGGTGGCTAAGAAACCTTACAAACCGTTTCGGTCCAAAAGGATGTTGCTAGGTTTGACATCTCGATGAATGACACCGTGCTTGTCTTTGAGGTAGTTAAGAGCCTTCACAACAGATACACAGATGTACCCAAGCATCTGTTCAGGCACCGGCTCATGACTCCGTAGCCTCTGAAGTTTCTCAATGCACGATGTCATTAATTCCATACAGATCCATACCTGCACATGTACAATCATTTCAGTCAATAAACAAAGTCTATATGGTGTATTGCACGCTTATGTGGATGATTCAATGATTCCAGAATCATTGAATATATAATTTGAATATCAAGGCTTAACCTCTACGTTAAAACTGTTTTTCTTGGCATATGATAGAAGTAGTGAACATTCATCCTGCTAGCTTCTACCTGCATATACACATTTAGAGCGTATTAAACAAGAACTTGAGCTTTTTCATATAGAAAATGATATGCCAGAACTTGGATATGTTCACTATTCATTATATTATAACCTTCGCCAAGTTGTAGCTAAATCAAAGCTTCTCTTTCGATAGATTAGATTCCGCACGAAGGGCAGGGAGCCCAGTCATATGATGTACTACAGATAGTGAAAAACTGACGGGTCCCTTCTATTTATGGTTAATAAGAAAATGTATCTGCTCGACTGGTGTCAATACTTAGTGCATCTATGACAAGTGTTAGCTAAACATTATAGCAAAAAGATAAACTCGACGAGCAACACTTTGACTCATTGTTTTTAATTGTAGGATTTTTAATTAAACTAGGATAGGAATAATATATATATAGTATTACCATAGCACGCTAAACTATACAGCTAAGCCGCAGAGCCTATGAAAGTATGTAATTATAAGATTTAACCATATTCGCTGGTCCAGTTGCTAGGAACTGTCTATACGAAACAAAATTTGGTGTTAACCAAGTCAGCAAACGTAACCATTATACATATATATATATTTAAAATTTCGTATGAAGCTTCTAGGCTTTAATGATGTCCTTGAATGCTATGAATGTAATTAGTTTTAAGCTAAAATTATAAACGCAGATAGGATAAATTAAACAATTGTTTAAGAAATTACATTAAATTAAAAAAAAAATACAACAAATACGAACAACGTACATATGTCAAGTTCAGATATGCTACGACTCCATTACGATTTCTCATAAATCCAGGGTGGAGAAAAATCAATCGTTAATGATGAAAATGATCCGGGAAAGTTTGATGAACAAATCCTGGCATAGGAATAAACGGATTAAGTGTCAAGGCAATAGAATACTTCCATTAGCGCTTAAACTTGTGGACGATAGTTTGTTTTGAAACGACATACCTCGGAATCGGTAACGAAATACCCGTAGCAGTGAACAATGTGTGGACAGTCGGTGCAACGAAGAACCACATCGAGATCCATGTAGATTCGTCTGTTTTCTTCTGGAACTCCACTTTTTCGCATTTGTTTTACGGCCATAACACGCCCACTAGCCACGTGCTGCATCTTCACTACATGACCACACGTTCCTGTTCCAAGATCTTCCAATCGGAGAAGGGACGTTGGGTCTACGTCCTTAAAGATTGTTCCTGCAAAATGACAACCAAATACATACACCTTAGCGTTTAGATTACAAACTACAAAATCATGCTTGGCAACATATATTTGCATTTTCTTAACCACAACTCAAAAGTCGGAAACTCAACAACAATAAACCAAAAGACATTTAATTGAGGCTAAGCATGATTATGAAATAGTAATGAACAAAAACTTATCACCTTGTCTTTTCTCAAAGAGGATTGCAAAAATGTCCCCGTTTATCAAAAATCTAACCTTAAGGCTTATTGGTATGCAATCTAATTGAATGCAAACTAACGAAATTTTAGCATTTTACCTTACGCAAACACATTTTTTTTGTAAAGCTAAAGTTTAGTATGACCATTGCTTAGCCATTGCAATATCAAGCTTAATAGCCAAAACCGCACTATTGTATCATCGCATTTCGTGTAATTTTGATGCCAGTTTTACACCTGTTTCGCATTAGCCTGATTAAACATCGGTAACCTTTGTGTAGATTGTTACGTTTTTGGCCACAAAAGCGAACTCTTTTTTGTAACCAATATGTTTATATAAACATATGTTGTGTCAGTAACACAATATCATTGACTATACTTTTACGCAAGGCAGTGTTCATTATGAGCAAGAAATTAATATCTTGACAACTGATGCATATCCATAGGATTTCTTACGCCAAGTGTCAGCACTTCATAAGGGTTTTAAATTAACCAGTTAGTTGAAGAAGGCATCGTTTACCGTATTTTTCTTTCGTCATTGCCTATTGTAAAGCATCAGTTACCACAAAAATGCTAATTCAATTTTTCGAATTGTTTCAATTTCTTAAATATTTTTTACTTTTACGCTGCGTCTGATTGTTATTTTTTCACGTTAATCTTTAGTATGTTTTTCATTTTAAAAGTCATTGAAATCATCATGTTTTAAAAAGTAGAACATTTATCCTGGAGATCTTACTGCAGATCAAGTCACTTAGTACGAAACGTCGCTACATTTTCTTGCGTTCTAGACGCACTTGCGCTCTTTAAAATCTAAAATTATTCACTTAGATTCTCTCGAGCTTTTAGCAGATGAGTTGTGCTAAGCCGCAGAAAATCCGAAATATTGAGTGATTGAAGAATGTGACTCCCGTCATGGAACTACAGTGGCGGTATAAACCTTGTATTCTATTCTTAGTTTTCTTATTCAAAATTTCTACGTTCTACAACCAACGGAGCTGTGAATGCATTTAAGGGCTACTTCACTAACCGGGTCCGCACCTTCTGTCATTTTCTAGATCGGGCCCTCTTTTTATTACTTTCACCAAGCATACTCCATGCAACCACCCTTCCTAAATGTCTATCGTGCATTTGACGAGCTACGCCACGTGCTATGACTAGGACAGCTAACTCGTCTACATGAGGGATCGTCTACCCCCCCCCCCCCCGCGCCTAACTAATTTTATGACGTCGTTGTATGTCATATTTTACAGTAGAACTTCTAATATCGACATTAGCACAATGAGATCTCTGCGGTTATGATGCAGGTTTTATGCTCATGCATCGCCATCTCATTGCTAAGATAGGAAACAGTTAGTCTTTGCATGCACGCTTCCTTCTGTCTCGTGGCTCCCATGACAACTTTTCAGTTAAGAGAGACATTTCCCACGTTCAGCAGAATTAGTGTGCACAGCCCTTTCGACCATTGGTTCCTGGTTTCCTGTCTTTTGGCTTCCTGGAGTATTCTTTCTACGGCCATCTTTGTTAGCCGGCTTTCACGCAAAGTACACTTGGAATTAGAAAAATTTTTTCACTCAATTTTGGCCGCAACTATTCTGTTAATATTTGCCTCTATTGTTTTTTATATGATGTCAACTAGACATCGGGTGATAGGCCCGGGGTCGGTGGGGGCCTTGCCTAATTTCCTGGTTGGGTTGCTTTACTAAGCTATCTAATACACTTTAATAAGTCTGGTTTGTCGATTACGGCTAAAGTGTACTGTCAACAATTGGAAATGATAAAAAAAAAATCCGCACTACGCAACCAAGATCAATGAACAGAGTTAAACCACTCTTATTGTACGACAACGCTTAATTTGACACAACAAGAATTAAGGCGGAAGAATACAAGAATTGGAAAGACAACTGAGGACTCTTTATTGTTCACTCGCCAAACTGTGCCCCTATAGATCACCATTTTTTGGAGTTTTTCAAAATCCCAGCAACCTATTCATTGGAAAAGCTATTCAAATCTCAATATAGTGTCGAGATTGTTTTTCGAAACTATGTATACTCTCGTACCCTAGACTTTTACAGCAGCGGAGTAAGTTACTATTTAAATAGAAGAAGACCATAAGCAATAATGATATATACTTTAATTGGAAACAGGAGAAATAAGTTGCGTATATTCTCCGCTACTCACTTCTGATGTTAAACCAAAAAACAAAGTATGTCCATTTTGCTTGTCTGTGCATATTCTTATCTGGTAGACTTACTGTAGTTCTCGAGAAAGACTATCAACCTAAAGTTATATAATAAGTTATAAGGAAATTGTAAGCTAATCCCAGATCGTATTATGAAAATCCGAGAGAAGTGTGAACTCTCTACGGCGGCTTGAAACTTCTGAAAGCCTAAGTTGTAAAAATTTCTTCATATTATCTTAACATCTAACCACAGACAACGCCCATAGAAATATATATTTGGGTTTTACCTCCGCGAGATGAGTATGTTGAAGCAGTGAATGCGCAAAGGCCATAACGAACCTCAGCTTGAGGCTCCCACGGGCTTGTGTAAGGCAATAAGAGAACAACTAAGAAGGTAGAAAATTTCTAGTCTAGCTTGTTGCAACGAGTAATTGTAATACAGTAGTACCAACCATCTTCGAAGGTCAACTTTTGAGCATTCTGCATAATATCGCGGTGTTGTCTGTTTTCTGTTGATTGGACCCTGCGATAACTCTGCGGAGGCCCTCCCCCGACGATGATTTCTCTTGGGCGACCTCGTAGTTCCTCAGATGAAAAGTCGGTCGAATGGCCCCGTTGCGCGCGGGGTCCGCTAGAAAGTATCGGGGCTGAAGGAGGCCCTCCTGTAAGTGAGGGGATTCCATTCGTCCGGGGCAGGCTGCCACTACCATTAGGAGTGCCGGAGTCTATTGGTAGGTTTCCCGGTCGTGCGCGGCTCCTGTAACAAAAGATTGTTCAATCTCTCGACCATAGGATGTACAATAAAACCCAACAGAACTCGATCTCTGTGAATGAATTATACAGTATTGCTTCAGTTAGAAACCATGTGCTGCTGGTATATCAAAAATCAATTTTTCAATATTTGTACACCTCAAACACTGTTAAATTACGTTACCGGTATCACTTTTTTATTTTAAGCCCCGATATGATCCTCAATAAAAATCATCTTTTCAGTAAATGCCCATACTAATGTTGATACTACAGAGGTAGATATTTTTGTAACATACAACTCTTATAATGAAAACATGATCGTAGGACGAATTTTGAGATAGTCGTGAAAAACTAAGGTTTTGATTAAATTCTATGCATCTCATTAAACACTACGATCTTGATAGATGGATATTTGCAAAACAATAACGATCGTCAATGTAAAAAAACACTATTAGCTAAATTTTAGAGTTAGAGTGGTTTTCCTTTATGCATAGATGGCAAGTCTTTGATCCAAGAGTTGTATTACCATAACGCTGGAGTACCGTTCTGTCATTCGAATTATACCCGTCCCTACAGAAGAAGTCCCTATTGCTGTTCGGGCATAAATTAATTTCATAAACAATATTTGCCTTAACGAAGAGTTTTATTAACAGTGTATTGTTAAAACTACAAAATCTACTTAAGTAAAGAAAATAAATTAAATTATTTAAAATGTGTTCGGTTGTTTGTTGGTTTTAGCCGACGGATATCGCTGCTTCCCAGCTCCATTGAGAAAAATATTGCCACCAATTGCTTCATTCTATATTAACTATTTGGCTGTAGCGATATAGGTAAATAAGGTATCTAACTCAGATGTCCAGTACCAGGATTCAATCTGTACAAGAAATTTCTCGGGTATGGCAGTAAACGCTTATAAATACTATCCTTGTAGTCCATTTGACGGTTACCGTGAATCAAGTGAACCACGGCATCACGTGAGTTAGCGTTTACAACTTTGACTTTCATGTAAAACTAATAAAATAACTTTTCCGTCGGAGCTTTAAGTCCACTAGACAGTAGGATTCAATCAAATGCAACGCGAGCCATTGCAAATGCGTGTGATAAGTTAAAATAGCTAGTTCATCAACTTCTTAAGTCGATTAACTGACCACATTGCAGAATTTACCGTAGGAAGCTCGCATTGTCGCTTGATGAATTATTGCCACATAAATCGTGAAGGGTACTTTTAAAAGTTCCTAATATCAGTTCATTGCTTTACGTTTGGCCGGCGTGAATATATATGATTATATTTGCTTCTCGTAGTACAATCAAATCGGTCGTACCATCCACAGTCAAGGTCTTTAGCGGAGGTATCAATGCCGAGAAGTTTCAGCTTTGCAAAATAAAGCAATCTAAAATATACAAATCTAATGCAATTGATCTAAGTCGCAAAAGTTCAACCTCGGAAGTTGCTAGGCTGTACAGTCAACATAGATCGACGGTTGGTGGTCTGCTCGCTATGTACAGTGTTTATTGATTCTAGTAGTCTTACCAAATAATTCCATTGAGCTCACGACAACTAGATCTTTTCAGTAGGTATTTGAGATAACATGTTCTACAAAAAAAAGACAATGACGTACCATTTTCCATTATCAATTTCTTTAATGCTTTGTGGTCACTGTTTCGTTCCAAAGTATCATTCTACCTATTCCTCTCCAATCAAGCTGCTAACGCCAATGTAAAACGTAAACTACGTCATTATAAGAGAAGGGCAACTTTAAAATAACTGATGATAATTTGCAGGATTTTTATAATGACGCATAATGTTTCGTTATAAATTCCCATTATCTCTGTTGTTCTAACTCCTAATGTATCTGGCAGTTTTCTCGGTCAAGTATACTTCGGCACAGATGTCTTGGCTCTGCCTGAAAAACATTCAGGAGAATCATTCCTGATGATAATTCTCATGAAGCCTCTCTTTAGGGACCTCTCAGGAATATCCGTTGCCATGTTTAACTGTGAGATGTCCTCTTTTGTTTCGCGGGCATTCATAGTCATCAGTGATCGAAATCAATGAGTCTTTGGTTCGTGTTCATAATTTATAGAATAAACTGGCTTTCTACTTAAGCTAAGTATTTCCAGTGCCTACTAATGGCGAAGTATTTCGAGACCACTGTAGGCGCCTTTAATGTTAAAGAAGATCTCCAGCTAAACTGTTGGCTTAAATCTATGTTATATTTGTCGTAAGGCCGTCACGTACGTTATCCTGGGATGAACCAATGAGTTCGTTCGTCGATATATAACCTAACCTTTGTGTGTGTTTTGCTGTGCCCCCCCCCAACTTCCGGTAGTCCGGAAAATATCCTACGTATAACTGCTTTTATAGTCAACCTGGCAGTGGACATTCCTATCTTTCGCAGGGGACTTACAGTGCTTTTTCGAGAACCTATTAGGTTCAATCGTAGTTCTTACATTTGCTGCCGCTGGTGGAAAGTAGTTTAAAAAAGAGTAATGGCTCGTCGAGATATGGTCGTCGATAACTGCGGTACCTTTTATAATCACTGAATAGCCAAAACTACCTCCTCCTGATGCAGTCAGTGATTTAAGTATAACATTGAACGCAATTTTAACACCCTTACTTCAAGACAGACTGTCTGGTAGATTTCTGGGCTGGATGCAATCTGATCTTTCTAGCTATTTGATTATTCTATCACTTTATTACTACCGGGTTCATATGTTTAGTGTGAAAATATGACAATATGTTTGTCGATATAGTTCAGATACAGCTATGTGTGTCAAATTCTTTATTAGGCATTCTACGACAAAAACGTAGAAAACGGATTCAAACCTTACGAATGCCGGAAAAGGTAAAGTTGAATAAATTGCAAATTTAATTTACTGGTCAATCCGACTTTATTCCAATGCTAAACACTTAGCTTAACGGCAAATATGTGTTCAGGTCTATCTAAAGTTGATAGGAAGTATGATGTAAATTACTTAACAAGTCGTCAATTCATCGTTTATTCAATTACACAATAACGTTACTGTAATAAAGATAAGGACCGAATAAAAGCGGCGATTTTACCCTTTCTTCTTACTTATTTATGATTTCTACCCACCTGCTTCCTCGAAAGCTATGTGAACCTCCATTTTCAGCTTCTAAGCGCGCTCCCAGCCCCTGAAGCTCGCGGTGCAAATCATCCTCGCCTGAAGTTATCGCAGGCATCGTTGCCACCCTGCTTCACCAATATGAACGAGAGCTTACTTGGGTGCTCACTTTACCTTGATTTAATATTCAGTACATGTTTAAGTATTTGCATTGCTTTAAATCGTTTTTCCGATTAGGTTCATAAGAGTAAACTTTATGACCGAAAAATATACTTATATGAAAAAGTTCAGAATTACTGCACACGGAGTACTAAGAACTTTTTATTGAATACCATATAATACCATAATCACTACCAATCTTGCGTTAAAATTATTTACAGAAGCGTTGACTATACAACTACTGATTACAATTACGTCGGTCGAAAAATATTGTCTTCAACTATTTCTTACAATACTTTAGCTGTGACTCCAAGTAAATCCAAAAGTCGTGTTTACAATCATGTGATTTTAATGATGAACATTTCGTGTCATAGTTAAACAAAAATCGTAGCCCAATATTTATGTCATTATTATTATTATTATTATCATGAAAAGCTGTCTCCATGAGGAATGCTGTTGAACCTTTTACCCGTCTTTTTTTAAATTTAGTAACGATTTATTATGGCGAAGTGTTTCCACAGCAAAGCTGTTTCCATAAGGTAGTCACTTCCTGTTCCTAGTGGCCAAATAATAATAGTTCAGTTTAATTTCTGAACGCCTTTATATTTGCGATTGCTAAGACGCTGAGCGGAAAAAATTAAAAATTGCCGTATGGTTTGCTAAGTTTGGCAAACATTTTACGAAATTTTGTTGTTTTTTTTTTAAAGAGTTACGAGTTTCAAATGTTGCACATTATATTCTGTCTGAAGAATAAATCAAAATCACAAATAGTACCTGTGGTGCAGAAGGCTTTTAAAAATCATGCTATAGGTCATTACTGAGTGTACTAATCGTAGTAATGCGACGGCTAAGGGAGCCTTGGGGGTTTGCCTTTCTTTTTGCCTATCTGTTATAACGAATACGGACGAAAACGTGCAGTGAAGTAACAGAACTTATCCTGGATTACCGTCGAATTACCCCTAAAAGCTCCCAAAAGAATTCAATAATTCACGTGAGTCACTTCAGACCGTTTTGAAAGGCAATTTGTAGGCGAGAATGTTTATAGCCGGAAGTGTTCTGAAAAACCTGGGTTTGAACCACATGTGGTCTCATTTATAAGTGTCGCACGAGGATCTCAATAAAACAAAAGGAGCCGAATTTGCTCTAACGAGTCACTACAAGGGACGAGTGGAAACAAAAACACAGCTGTCTGGATAGGTGGATAGACCGAAGAAAACTACGATCCAAATCAAAATTAAACTTATTTTTACTGCTTCGTTCGACCATCAGAGCACTGTGCATTATAAATTTGTGTTGAATGGTTCGACGGTCACGAATGAGCATTACAAACAAGTTTCAAGAAAAGTACATATGCTGGCCGTATCGTAATTTTCTCAGCATACTCCCATATCGCCCGTTGTATAAGTGTTTTAGTTCTTCCGTTACATTTTGTAGCACTCACTATCTGATGTGATTAAGTCAATTCAAACCTCAAATAATGTTTTGTACGAACATCAAGATCCTTGGTGTTACTCCTAACACTTCAATATGAATCAAAACTTTCGGAAAAGAGAAAGACAGTACTACTGAGGTTTGTGGAAGAAATTAACAATACAACGTGATAAGCTCGTAGTGGAGTCGTGCAGTTCCCAAAGTTTCTACCCACACTTCTGTTTATTTTATCTGTGAAAATTATGGGAATGGTATTCCACACTTGCATATAGATACCAATGGTGCTATTTATAGCGGTATCGATAACGAATGGCGCCCCCATGGTATTCGCGCAACGATAATGTAACGGTTGATGCCCGTACAATAAAGGTATCCTGAACCTTCTTCCGCTGCCTGAATGCTACAGAAGAGCTTCAGAAATAACACCTGCAGCATTAGGTCAATCCCAATATACAAAACTGATCCTCCATATCTATGAAACGGCAACGAAGGCAGAAGAAGTTTTCCAGTTCGCAAATGTCCTTGACGTCCTTCATTCACGAAGTCAGTGCCAAAATGCCGTCCGACTTGCTAATTTATTTGCTTGATCAATTCCTAAGCTCATAAGAGCTCATCGGTAATTTAAATTGCGAGAATATTCTGCTCGGTGTGGCCTGGAGGGTATCGGCGTCAGGAACTCAAAATATAATTGTCTGGCGAAACCGGCCTCAAGAATGTATCCATCCTAGGAATCAAGATGGCTCGCACTTATATTGGTTACACATTGCTGACTTTCATTTATGAGCATTTAGATAGTAGTCGTTATCGACTCACATTGCATGAGCCAACAACAAGGCCGTCATCAACGAGTGTCCTTGTAGAACTTCACGTTACTTGTATGCCAGTTGTAATTTTGTTACACTTGAACGTTGTAGATATGTGTAACTATGGCTGAAGTAATTGCCCAAGACATTCTAAAACATATTACGCAATATATGAAAAATCGGAAGTTTTACAGTGAATAAAAAGACTTGCCAACTTTCCTTTTTATGAATACATATTCAAGCAGAGTTTTAGGATAAATTTGACGCGACTTCTCAGTTCGCGGTATATAATTTGACTTAATCCTTAGCGTTTCCGGTTGAACCTAGACTAATGAAGCCTCAATTGTGGGTATCACAGTTTGCTCGTTTTCTTATTAGGAATACCCGACTTCAATATTGAAGTAAAAGCCATATTACGAGACATTCCCGTATGTACTCCTCTTGTAGATGTTCCCATACGTTTTACCACAACACAAATAAGCGCCCGTTAACCAGGTTATAATTTTCTTAGTATTCTAGTAACACGGTACGAAAACGGTAGTTTTTTTTTCATATCTGCAGTAGTGTAGGTGTTTGCACAGATGACCATACCTATTGCACAGCTTTCTGACTCGCACCTAAAAGACACATGTTTCACAAATTTATGTTAGACATATGTGTTTGCTTTAATTAACTTAGGACATGCTATGATACATATGAGATATGGCCTGACCTTAAAACAATAAACAAGTTTTGGAACGACTTGACTTTTGCATGTTCCTTAAAATATAAGCGTACAATTCTACAGAATAACAGAAAGGTGTAATGCTGATCTAGCTGATTGAGGTTAAAAGGTTTGAGAAATAGAACAGTAAAAAGCTTGAAAATTACAGCGAGTAACATTTCTAACGGGTTAAAACATTGCTATTGGCTCATGCTCAAATTAACTTAAGCAACGATCTTTGAGAAGAAGCCCAGTTGTCGTTTTTAAGTGTTGAAAAAGTCGTGTAGATTTAAATCTACCGAGTATAGTTTGAAGCTAACTGAGTCACAAACCCCAATAAGCATTGAATGGCTACGTTACCTAAAGGAAGTGTTTCATACCTACTAAAGCTACTATAGACAAAAAGCGCTCACATAAATATATGAACCTTTTTTTTTTGTACCTTGAATAATTCGACTTTAACGACTAGTTCTGCAGTTGTTCAGCTCTTTCAGAAAAACTATGTTCAACTGATCGCGTTGTTCTCTTACGGTTGTCACATTCTTTTACTGCACAGTGCGTGATTATATCACTAGAACCAAAACATTTGTGTTTCCTATATAAGTGTTGTCACATTTAGCGGCTTTATATAAAATAGACGTCTCAAAAATGTTTAACAGCTTTATAAAATAATCACTGAAAATAGAATAAACGTGAAAAACAAGACGTTTCCCACATCGCTAACGATTTTGGTTATACGCTTGTAACGGTCAAATTTTTTTAAATGTTCATATTTCGAATAGATCGCATTCTGGAAACAGATAGACAAGCTCGTCTTAGCTTGAAGCTAGCTCAAATAGCATTTGTAACGCACAATAAAAACACATTAGTAGGATGAAGTTTATACTTTAATCCTCACTCTTATATGTAGTTCAATCGGTAAACGCCGCTATAAAAGCTTCACGAGTGCCTCATGGGAAAGTTAAAATCAAGATCCGCCTAAAAAGAATTAACATGAACGTATTCTGAGACTCCGCAACTGTCATTCTAGCGTCCGCAAAGACTACCTAAGGTTCGGGAACACGACTTCCGAAACTTGCCTTTATGGTACAGAACAAGAACAAGACGTTGGTCTAATAAGGTCCTCTGGTTTGCTTCAGTTGTTATAGAATGTGAATTTTTAGGATGAGCCAGAAAATGTATGCGTGGGGTGAACAAAAATGCTTCTTGATGTTGTTTCCACAAATTTTGAAATCATACAGAATACGACACCGTGACCTATCTTAGAACCATTGCTCTCTTAAAGAGCATTCCTCTACTTCCAAAAATAAGAACTGTCAATCGAAACGCCAACCTCTTTATATGTATCAGCATTCTTTTTCGATTCGCTAAGTAATTACCTACTCACAGGCGTCGACGAAAAGCGGAATCAAGGGAGACGTTTTCATTGCATCCACAACCAACAACAAAGTTCTTTGATCAATCGGCTCTGTTTAAAAAAATGTGGCATGAGCGGCCGATCACGGTCAGCGCAAATGCAAAACGGCCCATGCGATTTCACCATTCTTTAGCTAGAATTGTATTTAGGCTAAATATATTGTTTGCGAGCGCGCTATCTCCTTAAGGGCCAATATTAAGTTAGATGGGTTGATTTGGCCTTAAATATACATACATTAGTAGATGATATATAATGTTATCATAATTCTGTACCTTTGTTGGACTGCGCAATGTTGTAAAAGGAGACTGACTATGTGCTACTGTCGTTTATTTTCTATAATTGACACTTGAAGCCGGTGCACGTGAAGTAGAGTATATCGTTTAGTAAGTACTGATACCAACAAAATACCGCGACGAAACAGGAACGAACTTTGCGAAAAGTACCGCTTGGAACACAGACAATGACTTATTTCGAAAACAACCTTTTCACGATCACTTTCCACAAAACAACAACTTGGTTGAAATTGATCCTGATATTAATAATAGCACTCTAGCTGGCGATGGAATTATTACCAGATACGGAGATCCTATTCGGCTAGCAGTTAAGTTCGGCCTACCGCCAACGTTTATTTTGCAAACAAACAGCAACTAGTCAAGAGAAGTTCCCCTTTTTTGATATCCAATCAAATGATGTTCGTTTGTCCCTTCGGTAGTATTCTTCTCGATCAGACATGCACAAGAGTAAACAGTAACAACAATCGAAATGCGAATGAACGAATTCTCTGGGCCTAGCTGCTCATATAGAAAACATAACATCAACAAAACGGATAAACGGATGATATCATCGGAAGGCGCGGGCGATTCGACACCTTCTGTAAGGAAGGCAGCATTCCTTACAGACTGTGTTGCCTAGCAAGAAATAAGGTAGCGTCAATATGTGAGAGTAAATCAATTTAGATACCGTAAGGATCCATTTGTTAGTGTGAATAAAAAAAATTAGCATAGAAATTATACGGGAACAATAGGTAAACAACAATAAGACGACTACTTTATTACATATATTTAAAATTGCTTTAGAATTGCAATAGAAACATACCTCATCAATTTGTAAGAATGTGTGCTAAACAAGTTTTTTTTGTCAACAATAATATCACTGGAGAAATGCTAGAATAATAGTCAACCGGAATACTAAAAATAGAAATGGTCTGGTTGATTCTAGATTATTAATTAATTCTAGAAGGATGATTAGTTTAAATGTTATAAAAGATTATAAGGACTTTTTTTTACCTCTCTTCAGTATTCTTTGAGCAAGTATTTATGACACAATACACATAAGTATTCTCATGTAGAATGTATGACATTCTTTATTTTCTTAGTAAAACTTCCACTTGTTGAACCATGGAGGAACGTCCTGTCAGTTCTGACAATCAATTGGGGAATTCATATTTAGCCTAGTTCGAAGTTTGAATGAAATCATTAAAATGGGGTATTGCATTGACTGAATAGAATGAATAACCGTCTAGGCCGGCAAAGAGTTTTTCTTTTAAGCAGCGAGCGAAATTTCTAACCAATCTACCAAATTAGCCCTAAAAATACTGACGTGTGTAGAATTACTGTTTATTCTTTTGACATTGAAACGATTACACAAAGACAATATACATCTATATATGATTAAATAAAGATTAATGTTATAATACCGTCAATAGGTGATAACAGCACCAGCTTGGCTATTATTCTGAATTTGTGCATGAAACATGTACGTGCGTTGCTACGAAATCAATACGGTTATGTTCGTCTGAAATACAATGACCAGCCTACAAACTATGATTTTTAGCTACTGATGCTTCAAAATGACGGTGATCCAAAAACCTAACGCTTTATATCAAAAAATCTGACAGATAACTCCACACTATGCTACCAAACGTGTCCCATAGCGTAAAACGCACGTAACCGACCACAACTAATTCATAGTTATACAATTCGCTTCTTCAGGAGACGCTAGAACAAACAAAGCATACCATCGTAATTTGTAAAGGAGCAGGGTAGGAATTCGTAGTAGCAACTACCACTCACACCCCCCTAATATAATAAACACGTATTACCATGGTGCATACAGAAAGCGCGAACAATAGCACAATTTACCCACGCCTATCATTTAACAACCACTTTATGCTCACAGGATCCAAATGTCCTAAAACAGCATATAAGACTAATCTGTTATTGATTGCGAACTCAGAAAAAGATTATTAAGCTTAGCGGAAGTGGTGTAATATGGGAAATTATGGGAACATTTATAAATAAAGGCAAGTAATAAAAAAATATAGTAAGATCCAAGAGAGTATTTTCTCCAGCTTCGGAGTAATGGAAGCCCCTTTAAATTAACCGTGCGGCTGTTTAATGCTTAATGATAGGAAAATAAGTTATACTAAGTAAATATTTGTGTGTTAGATTTGAAATTAAACGCGTGAATATCGAATCAGCATGTGTATATATCTAGCTTACCTTAACTCTCATCCAACAATAGAAGACTATATAAATACCTGCTGTCGCTACATTGATACATGAGGCTTATTTGTTATTCGAAAGGACTCTAAAATGACCCCAAGCGTCATCTGTCTAAGCATTTTGGCCCAAAAAGTCTTATGACATCATATTGTCCTTGGCGCTTCTATGGATCAAATTCAGTTCAATATCAGTAAACGGTTGTGGTTCCCTGTAGAACTTAGTTGCCAGTAGTCTGAACCAAGCAGATTTCCGAAACAATGGGTAAAAGTAACCCTTAGCTGCAGGGAGTCTATATTGGATTTGCAAGTCAAATGGATAGACAATCTGACCCCTTGTATTGTCTGTCTCAGTCTTCTGTTCCCATATACGAATGGATTCGTTTTTGGTAGCATGCTGATTTTTGCACTAAACTTTACTTATAAATTATAAAAAAGCTAAGACGGAGAGGAAGCAAATAGAATTGAATCGGTGAATGAACAAACGTAGATTTGATTAGTATGAGCTGGAAAAGTCATCTTTTTTCTTGATTCCCCACTTAAGTTGACATTGGAACAGTTCGTAGAACTTTCGAAATTTTTTCCCGGATCTCAGACGGAGCGTGGAGCATACAGACCATGTAAACAGGCATTCTTATGCATTATAAAATGAAACAAACTCGATGATTGGCGAAATGGTTCACTTCCACCAGCGAAGTAAAATCTCAAGGTTGCCATTTCCTTTTTTGGCCCAATTAAACTGATGATATGTGTTTGCTCCTAAAAAAAAACCCGGTCACAGCATTTTCTGATAAATTTTAAGAAATCCTATTATAAATTTACTGCAGCTAAACATAAATTTAACTGTATGTGTATATCGAATTCTTGTACCTGTCGGATTTCGGCCATAAATTACGAAATGTCGTTCGATTTCATGGAACAAAGCATGGTAATAAGTATGGGGTGGCGAATCATTATCACGGTAGAGAAGATCTACAGCGCTGATCTACTTCAACTAGGATTCTCAAGCACTTAGTGCTTGTTGGGATTCTGCACATAAGCTTACTTTCTGCTGCGAAAATCTGAAGCCTTGACTATTCCTGATACATTGTAAAATATAAAGAGCTTGCGCAGTGAAAAATATGTACCGAGGAAGTTTCCGTTCGTTAATGTTAAAAGTAACTCCGCACTTTAAAGGACTAAATTCCCTATCGTAAGAAATGCGTTCTAAGTGCCCGATAATTATCATGCCATTCTTCGTGGCCCACCTCTCGGTAATTTCTAGCCGCCGAACTAGAAAGTTCTTGCGAATATGCTCGATATGTATCCCACTGCTGTGGGGTAATCACCTTTTTTAACGCAGTCAATTATCCTCTGTAAATTAAGTGGCACTGCCTCTTCTTTATCCAAATCGCACATTTAAACAAGGATAATTTGTACGTCGTCTTGATCTCCGTTTGATCGGATAGAGCGCTTGAGATTGTGTGCTGTTAGATCAACAACGAACTACTACCGGTGGCTCCTGGAGTTGAGGTTAGAGTTCGCAGTAGCAATACAATTGACAGTAGTCAATAAAGTAATATTAATTATAAACGACAGAATCAAGAAATTATAATCGATAACACAAGATTTTGTAGCACAAAATAAAGGTGTGTCAATTTCTTACCCAGCAGTGCAGGAAAATTGATAGGTTGTTGGATGAGGGCTTTCGAGTCACGGTACCTTAACCTCGAGGCAGCAAATCCCTGATCGATGAACATTATAAAACGAAGTGCTATTGCATATAGATTTCCATATCACTTTCTAATACCTAAAGTCATGATTCGCGCAAATAGCTTTGTGTGCTTGATCAGGTAATAACTGTTTAGTTTAATCTCAGACGACTAAAAATACTACTATTAAATAATTAATAAACTACTTATTATTGTAAATGTTAAAATTATTTTCCAACAAAGTTTTCAAGCACTGAGCTTTTTCCTGCTGACTGGCTTTATGTGTGTATGTGATGACAATCTGAGGTATATCTTATGCCACGGGAATGTTGAGTTCGGTGAATGAAGCCTGCAACTTGTAAATTACTCAACAAGTAACTTCTGCAATACTGCGATTCACTTCATTTTTGGATCTTTACATAATTATTTGCCTGTTTTTATTTCGGCATGATAATGTGCTGTATTTTTATTATGTTTAGAATAAACACATCGAAAATCAATTTTTTTTTCAAATTTTTACTGCAATTCATGCAGTTACAGAAATAATGACTAAAATCAACAGTCTGAAATGAAAAGACATAAGCAAACACGCTATTCCTTCCTATCATGATTGTTGCAGCTATTCCTTTGGCTAATTCTGAATAATTTAGGTAGGTCAATAGCGCACGAAGAAGCATCTTCTTTGAAAAATGCTTAGTCATTTCTGTTTTTTCTTAATAGTACTCTCCAAGGACACAAAACTAACATTAACGACCTTAGCGTGCCTTCTGATATCATAGCCTTTTCTTTTCTAATCAAAGCTTAGTGTGTAAAGATGCTGAGGTACCTTGCAACCATGGTTCTAAGCCTTCGTTAAGTAATCCCGTTTAAAAGAAAATAAAATAAATAAATAAATAACCCTGACAAAAAAGGGAAGAAAAGAGTGCCATTGGTTTGGCATCAATTACCTAAATTACCGAACATCAATTACTCATGAAGTCCTATATTCAGCCGCAACAACATCGGCGTTTCGTCGCCCACTATACATGTTAAGAGAGCCGAACTTGCGCTGCGATTGCTCAAAAAGGCCCGCAGGCAACTGAGGTGTTGATTACGCCGCAACGCAACCAGAGCTCCCGCCGCGGTTCGAGCATCCTCACATTCGGGGCATATTCCTTGACCAAGGTACAATTCTGCGTGAGCGAAGGTCGCACGCTAGGAGAAGCTTGCGTTCGAAATACGTAGTGTTTTTTTGTCTACCCATTATCTCGCCTTATTTACAAACTTCACCACCTGCTCACTTGGTATTAGCCACTTACAGGAATCAAACTGATGAACCCGCTCCCAAGACAAATCAAAATTTAAGTTGGGGGAATTAGATTAGTAAAGGCTGCTCGCAGCCCTCGGCTTTTTATGACTGGACCAACTTACCAGTTGATCTTTCAAAAAACATACCTAAGAATAAGAAACGCTTTTCACAGCTATTGGGAAGCCGGTTGCGCTCCCTTTAAAAACGATCCTCGACCACATCTACTGAAAAGTT